CCAAGTTTGAAGACCTCTGCTTTAATGGCCAGGAGATAAGCAAGAGTTTATTTCAGCCTGGGTGTTTTGTCCTGGTTGATAGGACAGGTTATAAATCAAGTATGTTAGCACTCAATATACAAGGGATATAAGTGAGCCCAGCCCACCAATTTGGAAAGATAAGGCCAGTTAGCTAAATCCCGGGTGCTCATAGAAGTGAGCAGGGTACAGACTTTGTATATGTGACAAATACTAGTTTATCATCCACAAGCATCCGTCACGCCTAGGCTGTGAAAGCATGAATTGAAGTTTAAGATTGGCGGCTGGCTGTTCCCAAGAAGAAGCAAAAACTCAAAATATTGAAAGCATTCTTGTTAAAGCACCGTTTCTAAAATGAATAAAAAAAATCAACACTTAGGAAACTATTTGCATCTAATCAGCTTTTGGTTTTTCATTTTGGGGGCTTGCTAGGGTGAATTTGATTTAAATCAAGTTGATTTAAGTCACGATTTAAATCACTAGTAAAAAGGCTTGATTTAAATTGACTTGATTTAAATCATAATTTTTAAAGAGCAACTGTCGTCTCTGTCCCACAGCAGCTCCTCCTCTGACCGGCTGTTGACTGTCCCCATGTTGCAGCATATACAGCCCCATGCTCCATAACTAAGCTCCATTTCATGCTGAGTAAACAAAATTATTAATGTATCTTAAACAGAAAAATAACTTTGGATACATTTTTACTTCCAAAGCATTTTATTAAAATAAATTTGATAAAAAAATTTTTAAAAAAGCTGATTTAAATTAAAAAAAAATCCAATTTAAATTTAAAAATTCAGATTTATTTATTTATTTATTTATTTAAATCAATTTTTATCCACCCTGCTTGCTAGGCCTCCAATCACCTGCTTATTTTTATTCCTAATTTTCAACATTTTTTTTCACCTTCCCATAAGGTTTCGTATGTTTCAATATATTTTTTAATATATGATATATATATATATATATATATATATATATATATATATATATATATATATATATATTCCCTCAACACTGTCAAACTATTCACTCTCTGCATTACTATTAATCTTCTCATTGTTCCTATCACCCATCTCCTCCCACTTACGACTGTATGACTGTAACTTTGTTGCTTGTATTCTTACTATTTATATTGATTGTTTCCTAGTATGATTTGATTGCTTGTTTGTACCCTATGACTATCATTAAGTGTTGTACCTTATGATTCTTGATGAATGCATCTTTCCATTTATTTATTTATTTATTTGTCATATTTCTATGCCGCCCATTCTCCGAGGACTCTGGGCAGCTTACACCAAAGACAGTATACTAAATAGCATATTGCCCCCTAACAATCTGGGTCCTCATTTTACCCACCTCGGAAGGATCGGAGGCTGAGTCAACCTTGAGCCGGTGAGATTTGATCCACTGATCTGCTGAACTAGCAGTCAGCTGAAGTAGCTGCAGTACTGCACTCTAACCACTGCGCCACCTTGGCTCTTTTATGTACACTGAGAGCGTATGCACCAAAGACAAATTCCTTGTGTGTCCAATCACACTTGCCCAATAAAGAGTTCTAGCTAAACCTTAACAGTAACAGAGTGGGAAGGGACCTTGGAGATCATCTAGTCCAACCCCCTGCTCACGCAGGAGACCTGTACTAGGGATTCAAACCGCTGAACTGCCAACCTTTCTGATCGACAAACTCAGTGTCTTAGCCACTGAGCCACCTAGTCAGGCTTGGCTGCTTATAAATTGGAATACACACAAGCACCCACATGCATGCTTTTCAAATATAACAGTTTTTGTTTTAAAAAATGGCTAATATCTCTCAGTGTTGAAGTGAAAGTACAATACTTTGCTACTGAATATTTTTCCAGTTGTTTTCCAAATAGGGAGTGAGGCTTAAAGGATTTTTTTTTTTTAATTTGTGTTTTGCTTTTTGTTGAACAAACAAAACTTCAAAGCAAAACGGGAAAATAAGTGCCCAGACAGACACAAAAGCTTGCAAACGGTTACATACAAATATGAGTATGAATCTAAATATAAGACATTGGTGTTTATGCATCTACCTGGAGTGAACACCCTTGAAAAAGCATTGTCAGAATGGAGATGGAACCACGGTCCAGATATGAACAAATGTTGAGACTCTAGAAAGAGTGCAGAGAAGAGCAACAAGAATGATTAGGGGGTTGGAGGCTATAACATACAAAGAGCAGCTACAGGAATTGGGTATGTCTAGTTTAATGAAAAGAAGGACTAGGGGAGACATGACAGCAGTGTTCCAATATCTCAGGGGCTGCCACAAAGAAGAGGGAGTCAAGCTATTCTCCAAAGCATCTGAAGGCAGGACAAGAAGCAATGGGTGGAAACTAACCAAGAAGAGAAGTAGCCTAGAACTAAGGAGAAATTTTCTGATAGAACAATCAGCCAGTGGAACAACTTGCCTCCAGAAGATGTGGGCTCCATCACTGGAGGCTTTCAAAAAGAGACTGGACAACCATTTATGTGAAATGGTTCCCCACCATCCAGTCAGAGCTGAAGAAGCTTCTTGGGTAGGAAGTGAAATGTCTTTAAAGAAAAAGTCCAGTTGCCTCTTGAAAAAATGCACCTTTGGGACATTTATGTGACATTTTAACAGGTTAACAGAGTTGGAAGGGACCTGATAAGTCATCTAGTCCAACCCTCTGCTCACGCAGGAGACCCTACACCATTTCTGACAAATGGCAGTCCAATCTCTTCTTGAAAGTATAATGGTATAGGCCAGGATCTCCTTCTCAAACAAGGGGGGTGGTATAGAAGACCTCCAAGGTCCTTTCCGACTCTTCTTATTCTATGTTCTAAATGTGATCTTACTTGTAAAGTTGTTCAAGCTTTTTTGCTTTTAAGTTTTGAGACTGAGTTTTTGTGCATTACCTAGCACTGTGAATAGGCCTAGATTTGGGCATTCTTAGCTAAATTGGTCCAAGCAATCATCAAATAAATTGGCTTATTCCTTGTGTCAGGAAGGTATTTTGTTTCTTGATTACTAAAGTCACGGATGTGTGAAAAGTAGGCCATAGGTTGAAGGCCATGTGCCCCTTCCATGTGCAAATTAGGCGTGCAGACGCCGCTGAGGATTCCCGGCAATTTGCTGCCCTGTTAAATGGCTACGAAGCAGTCATTAAACTCCAAAGTCCTTGGATCTTGCCAAAAGAGAGATTGGCAAGGGCTGGCTTAAGATGAAATTTTTAACTGTTTTTAAATGTTTTAAACGTTTTTAATTGGTAAATGAGTTTTAATTGGGCCAAATTTATATATCTTTTAATTGTTTTTAATATTTGTTCTGCATGTTTTTTTAATCTGGCTGTACACCGCCCTGAGTCCTTAGGGAGAAGGGCGGTATAGAAATCCAATATAAAAAAAAATAAATAAAATAAATAAATTATTTATGGCAGAAGCAGCTATCAGTAGTAATTAACAGCACATCCTTGCACAAATCCAGATTTTTATTTCAAGAATAAGGCCAGCCTGACAGGGGTCAGGGGTCAGACTCACTCAGACAAGAGCCCCCCCCCCCCCCCAAAAAGAGGCAAAATCCATATCTGAACACAGAATCTGTATTGTCCACATTTAATTCTTTAGGTATTCAAATGGCTGTTTATATCCTTGTAGACCATGTTCAACTCTTGTTAAAATCATTGAAGGAACTGGATCAGCTGCAACTTTTTAAAATAAATTTTTATTAGAGTATAAGTATTAAAAAAACATAACATAACATTACACACAACAAACATTTATACAACATATAAACAAAAGAAATTTTGTTTCCTTCTTAAGCATTGTTTCAAAGTGACATTCTGCTTGTTATATATTTCTTCACCTCTCCTTAATATAATAACATTTTCTATATTGGTAATATTTCCCCTCTAGGTTTTTTGTTTGTTTCTAATGTTTAACCAATTATACCATTTATTCCATATGTTATAGTAATCTGATTCTTCTCTTTCTTGTATCTCTTTGGCTAACCTATCCATTTCAGCGCATTCTAAAAAAATTTCTATTAATTCTGTTTCGTTTGGCGTTTTTTCTTGTTTCCAATTTTTTGCGTATATTATTCTTGCAGCTGTTAGTATGTGAATTGTGAGATATTTAATATCTTTAGGGTATGATTTATTAAAGATTCCTAATAAAAACATTTCTGGTTCTTTGTCTATCTGTGTTTCTGTTATTTATTCCAACCATTTTTTAATATTAGACCAAAATTTCTTTGCTGCCGGGCATGTCCACCATAAATGATAGAAGGTTCCTTGTGTCTTCTTACACTTCCAGCAGGTCGGACTATTTTTAGGTTGTATTTTTGCCAGTCTAGTTGGAGACATGTGCCACCTATAAAACATTTTCAGTTGGTTTTCCTTGTACGCCACTGCTCTTGTTAATTTTATGTTTACTTGCTGCAACTTTTTAATATGATCGTTTTTGCCTTCTTTCATCCAATAGGATGATTTGAAGCAGAAGAGCAATTTAATTCCCCCACACACACACACATCCTTTTTTTTTTTTTTTTTTTGTGGCCTAAAGATGGAGTTTTAAAAATGTCATTTTTAATAATTATTTTGAACATGGATTAGCATGAGATAACATAAAACCGCTTATTTTCAGAGGCTCTTGCAAAAGATGTGTTCTCTTTTAACAAAATATTCTTCATTCGGTTTTGAGTCATACAGTTTGTTAGGCTCTTAGAATAAGATGGTCATGAACCACTGAAAATCCTTCGTTTTCCCATTTGAGGTGCATTGATTGTGTACATAGAAGCACATAAATTCATTTCTGGTCATTGCAGCTGGTATAAATTCAATCAGTCAATAAATATAAAATCCAAGGGCTATTTTAGTTTGTCTATATATAGACAATATACCTTGTTAGGTATTAGCCGTGTGAAATGTTTTTTTACTTCTTTCAGATTTGTTTTAGTTGATGGCTTTTATTATCTATTCAAAATTTTCATTTCGTTTCTTTTTCAGAAGAAAAACTGGAAGAATTAAAGTTTTGATTCAGCTGACTGCCAAACTGCTCAGATTTCTCTGAAGAGTCCGGCTTGAAAGCTTGTCAAGAGCTGAACAATTTGCCAAACCTGACAGTGCAGAAAGATTTTAATTACGAGCCATGATCAATTCCAAAGTTTCCATCAGACTGCTGGGGTTCTACGCGTTCCTCGTTTTTCAAGGTAAAGTTTTAAAACTTCAGGTTTTAAGAAATGGTCTCGATGCCCAAAATGTTTATGCGCAATAGAGACACTATTATATTTGGTTTGCAGTTTGAAATACAGTGTTAAGCTCCTGCAAGCTTCCAAACTTTTAATGTTTGTTTCTGAAAATTAAAAGCTATGAAATAATACAGGAATCTGGGGTGAGAGCTAATACCTGCTGGCCTGTGGTTAAAAAATTATTTTTACTTATGTGTTTAGTATTGTTTACGGAGATTTGAGATAAAATTAGTTTAATGGGCATGTGGTTCTTAATTAGATACAAGATTAGGAATTTTGACAAGAGAAGTGAAGTAGAATTTGTGAAAATACATGATAAACTGAATAAGGAAACAGCAATAAGGATTTTTATTATTTAAAACACAATGACTGCTAGACTTTCCTTTCTTAACATTCATGGAGAATTTTTTAAAAAATAATACATTGGTTGTCTTTAAAAATACATATGCAAATAAAAAGTTACAGCAACGCTCCCAATGAACTTCTGGCAATGTATCATATGAAATTTAGAATAAAGCACAGAATGCCTACGTCATCCTATTTTAAATTACCAGGATTACATTAGCATAAGTGTCTCCCTGTGATAAGATCTAACTTTTGAGAAGCTGTGAAGAGTCTGAGAAAGGAATAGAGCAGAAGCTTAGACCTAAGCATTCAAGAGCTTGCAAGGAAGGCAACTGACAAATCCATTTTATAAATAGCAGTTCAGACCAGGAGCCCAGAAATCTGGGAGGGAAACTCTTTATATCAGGGGTCTCCAACCTTGGCAACTTTAAGCCTGGAGGACTTCAACTCCCAGAATTCCCCAGCTAGCATCTGGCTGGGGAATTCTGGGAATTGAAGTCCTCCAGGCTTAAAGTTGCCAAGGTTGGAGACCCCTGCTTTATATCATGTCAAAGACACTCCGTCTTAATGAAGTCCCTATAAATGAGGCTTGAAACTTCCCTCTGCAGTTTCCAAGATTCTGTACAGATAGTTCTCAATTTGCAACAGTTCGTTTAGTGACCATTCATATTTACAACGGCACTGGAAAAAAAATGAGTTCTGACCATTTTTCACTCTTACGACCATTGCAGCATCCCCCATGGTCACATGATCAAAACTTAGGTGCCTGGCAACTACTCGTATTTATGACCGTTGCAGTGTCCCGGGATCATGTGATCATCTTTGGCGACCTTCAGATTCACTTAACAACAGTGTCACAAAATTAACTTAACAAATGTCTTGCTTAACGACATAAATTTTGGGCTCAATTGTGGCCGTAAGTTGATTTACTTCAAGAGTGGCATTAAAGATCTTTTATTGCCGTTCTGATCCTGCCCAGCTGTGTGAGCTTGTCACAAGCTCTCCTGGTCATTGCCATCCCTAACACTAGGCAGATCTGTTCCCTATGAATCTTAGTGGGGAAGAGGTGTCACAGGTTAAGAAATACCATAGAGAAGTATTTTTAGGGCCTTAACCGTAAGCGTCAGCATGTATAATGGGGGGGGGAAATCATAAGTACCGTATCTTTCGGACTATAAGATGCACCTAGCTTTTGGGGAGGAAAACAAGAAAAAAAAATCTGCCTCCGCCTCCCAGCAATTTGCCTCCTTGCAGCAAACAGCCTGATCAGCTTCAGCACAGCTTGATTTAGCATGAGCAGCTGATGGGTGGATCAGCCTCCCAGAATACCGCCAATCAGCTGTTCCAGGCTGCGGGGATCGCCGCCGTCCATCGCCGCCTCTGTGCACCCCATTTTCGGCCTCTGTGCATCCTGTTTTCGGCCTCCACTCACCCCATTTTCGGCCCATCCCCGCTGCCGCCACTGCCTATCCCCGCCACTTGGAACAGGCCAAATATGGGGCACGGATTTATGGGTTGCGCAGAGGTGGCGATGGGCAGCAGCAGCAATGGGCGGTGGCGATCCCCACAGCCTGGAACAGCTGATCGGCGGTATTCCGGTAGGCCGATCCAACCGCCAATCAGCTGCTTGTGCTAAATCAGACTTTGCTGAAGCTGACCAGGCTGTTTGCTGCAAGGAGGCAAATTGCTGGGAGGCAGAAGCCAAAGGTTGGGGGCCGGTGGGTGGGCCGGGCTTTGGCAACATTCTCTCTATAAAACGCACAGACATTTCCACCTATTTTGTGGGGGGCGGGGATCTTATACACCGAAAAATACGGTGTATAACAGAATAACAGAGTTGGAAGGGATCTTGAAGGTTTTTCAATCCAAGCAGGAAAGTCTTATATCATTTCAGACAATTGGCTGTGTCCAGTCTCTTCTTAGAAGTCTCCATTGATGGAGCATCCACAACTTCTGGAGGCAAGCTGTTCCGCTGGTTAATTGTCCTCACTGTTAGGAAGTTTCTCCTTAATTCCAGCTTGCTTCTCCTTAATTAGTTTCCATCCGTTGCTGCTTGTCCTGCCTTCAGGTGCTTTGGAGAATAATTTGATCCCCTCTTCTTTGTGGCAGCCCCTTACATACTGGAACCGATATAGATATTGTGACTGCTATCATATCCCCCCTAGTTCTTCTTTTCATTAAATTAGACATGCCCGGGTCCTGATACACATTATTCAGACTTTTTATGCAAAATGAGTCCGTTTAGATTAGTTAGAATTGTTAAGAAATAAATTCTGGCGTAGTTGAAGCTTCTGAACATTCTTTATTGATTGAGTTTTTGGTCTGGAGATAGCAAAACTATAGATCCCTCTAGTTTTGGGGTATTCCACCTGTCCAGGAAAGGTGACTTGCTCAATAGCCAAATAAAGCAGAGTTCTAAGGAGCACTTCTAAAGTCCATGTCGCTTCTTTAGAAGTTTCACTCCATCCCAGAATGTGTTGTGCTGTGTTTCTCAAAGCTTCAGCCTGGGATGCTGCTCATTTGTCAATATTTAAGTACGTTTAAGTCTCACGCAGATGTCTGGTTAGTGGATTCATTGGAGCTGTGTGCTACTTAAACAAGCACTAACTTCAGCTGTGCATCGTTTTAACAGGTGTGCCAAATTTTATTGGTAAAATATTAATTTTGATTTCATTCCTGGCCGTTTCCATGCGTGTATGCAAGTGTGATGTTTATAGTTTATGTCAGCCCATTTAAGTGTTTCTTTTGCCTTTCTTATTCTTTGTTTTCAGTCAGTGCGATTTAATGATTTCCCTGGTTTTCCGTCACTGCAGTTATTGGGAAATCAAGAACAGTGGTTAGAAACTATCAGCGTTATTGATCTCAAATCCATTTGAAGTACTAAATTATTGCAGCTGATTTTTTAGCTACAAACACAGGAAGATGAAAATGCAAATGGAGTGGAGTAGGGTAGGGTAGGGTAGGGTAGAGTAGAGTAGAGTAGAGTAGAGTAGAGTAGAGTAGAGTAGAATGGAAAAGAATGGAATAAAGCTGGAAAGGACCTTGAAGTTCTTCTAGTCCAACCCTCTGCTCAAGCAGGAAACCCTATACCCATGATGGCGAACCTATGGAGCCATATCGGTAGGCACGCGAGCTCAGCTCCGGCGTGCGTGCGCATGCCAGCCATCTGATTTTTGGGCCCACCGGAAGTCAGGAAAAAGGCTGTTTCCAACCTCCAGAGGGCCTCCGGTGGGTTGGGGAAGGCTGTTTTCACCCTCCCCAGCCTCCTAGAAAGGCTCTGGAGCCTGGGGAAAGCAAAAAAATGGGCCTACCTTGCCATCGAATGGCAAAAGTGGGGGGATTGCAGGGGGGGGTTGTGCACGCATGCGCAGGGGGCATAGAATTATGGGTGTGGGCATGTGCACGAGTGACCCCCCTGCACTCCCCCCACTTTTGGCACGCGATGGCACAAAGGTTAGCCATCACTGCGCTATACCATTTCAGACAAGTGACTGTCCAGTCTCTTCAAATACCTCCAGTGAAGAAGCGCCCATGAATTTTGAAGACAACTTCTGTTCCACTGGTTGATTGTTGCCCTCCTAAAGCTAAAATGGAAAATGTCTTTTTTTTCTTCTTCTTAAACCTTTAAGAGTAGACTTCTAGGCCAATTTTGGATAGGTATTTCTTGGAATCTTATACAAGCAGTCCTCGACTTGCAACCCCAGTTGAGCCCAAAATTGAAGTCCACACCTCTTGAAGTTGACACAGTTGAGAAATACTGCCTTTATTCCATGCACCAAAAACACTGAAAACCTTTATCTTCACTTTGTTTTAAACTGGAAAGTCAACATGTGCTTGTTTGTTGGAGAAAATGTCCTTAGATTGAACTTTGCTGTAAAACTAGACTTTGCCTATTTAATATTTGTACAGACGCTGAGATTTGTTTTTTTTGTGTGTGTGTGTGTTCTGGCTTCTGCCTTTGGGATGCAGCTGAGATGCAGATTTTAGGCCAGAGAAATGAAATTACTGGACGAGGGAGGCCTTTGCCGTAAACTTTTCAAAATAGTCCTGGGTCGTAACAGTATAAAATTACCTGCAGAACGAAATGTAGGTGCTCCTCACTCTGCATTGTGCCCGTGGTTACCAGATTGTCTCAAAGAATATCAAAGTCACATGTTAACAGTAACAGTTGGAAGGGATATTGGAGGTCATCTAGTCCAGCCCCCTGCTCACGCAGGAGACCTGTACTAGGGATACAAACCGCCAAACTGCCGACCTTTCTGATCGACAAGCTCTGTGCCTTAGCCACTGAACCACCTAGTTAGGGTTATACATATACATACACACACACACACACACACACATATACATGCATATTACTTAAACATCCCTGATCATAATCTGTCATTAGCACTGAGTACTATGGTATGTAAAGCCCATCTGTGACACAGCTGATCAGGGTGGATAAAAATTGATTATTATTTTTTAATCGGATTTTTTTTTATTTAAATCGGATTTTTTTTATTTTTATCAAATTTATTTTAAGAAAATGCTTTGGGAGTAAAAATCTATCTAAAGATAGTTTTCTGTTTAAGATACATTCATAATTTAGTTTATTCAGCATGAAATGGAGCTTAGCTATGTAGCATGAGGCTGTATATTCTGCAATATTGAGACTGTCGGTGAGTCAACAGCGGGTCAGAGGAGGAGCTGCTGCGGGACGGAGATGACAGTTGCTGTTTAAAAAATATGATTTAAATCGAGTTGATTTAAATCAAGCCTTTTTACTAGTGATTTAAATCATGATTTAAATCGACTTGATTTAAATCAAATCCACTCTGCAGCTGATAAAATGAAAGTGTTCAGCATCCTTTTTTTTTTTTGCTTGAGATCATTTCCATAGATTCGACAGAGATTGTGGACTGATGTTGACATTCTAGGTTGCATTAACAGAGAGATAGAATCAAGATCACGTGAAGTATTAGTACCGCTTCTGTAAAGCCTTAGTAAGACCCCACTTGCAATGGTGCATCCAGTTTTGATCACCACAATATAAAAAAAGATGTTGAGACTCTGGAAAGAGTGCAGAGAAGAGCAACAAAGATGATTGTAGAAGACTGGAGGCTAAAACATATTTAGTATGTATAGTATACATACTAAATATGTATAGTATTGTTTATACATATAGTGTAAACAGTTTAACTGTTTATGAAGAACAGTTGCAGGAACTGGGTATGTCTAATCTAATAAAAAGAAGGAGTAGGAGTGACATGATAGCAGTCTTCCCATATTTGAGGGGCTGCCACAAAGAAGAGGGGGTCAACCTATTTTCTAAAGCACCAGAAGCCAAGACAAGTAGTGGTTGGAAATTAATCAAGGAGAGAACCAACCTAGGAATAAGGAGAAATTTCTTGACAGTGAGAACAATTAACCAGTGGGACAGGTTGCCTTCAGAAGTTGTGGATGCTCCATCACTGGAGGCTTTTAAGAAGAAACTGAATAACCACCTATTGGAATGGTATAGGGCCGTGATGGCAAACCTATGGCACGCATGCCACAGGTGGCACGTGGAGCCATATCTGTGGGCACGTGAGCTGTTGCCCTAGTTCAGCTCCAGCATACATGTGCGTGCCGGCCTCCCTTCCCAGGAGTTGCCACATGGCCCGTTTCGGCCTCCGGGCGGGTGGGGGAGGCCATCTTTTCCCTCCCCAGGCTCCAAGAAAGCTTGTGGAGCCTGGGGAGGGCAAAAAACGGGCCTTCTGGTTCCACCAGAAGTCAGGAAATGAGCCGTTTCCAGCCTCCGGAGGCTTCAGGGAGGCCTGCTAGGCCCAAAATGGGGCACGAGGGGAGGACACACATGCATGTGCAGGGGGGCGGGGCATGGGGGGATTGAATTATGGGTGTGGGCACGCGCATACGACATCCCGCACTCCCGCCCCCCACTTCTGACAGGCAATGGCAAAAAAGTTAGCCATCACTGGTATAGGGGCTCCTGCTTGAGCAAGGGATTGGACTCCAAGGTCCCTCCCAACTCTGTTTTTCTGTTACGTTTATGTTCAATCTCTTGTTCTTATGACTGTATGACTGTAACCTTGTTACTGGTATCCTTATGATTTATATTCACTGTTTCCTAATATGATTTGATTGCTTATTTGTTCCCTATGACTATCATTAAGTGTTGTACCTTATGATTCTTGACGAATGTATCTTGTCTTTTTATGTACACTGAGAGCATATGCACCAAGACAAATTCCTTGTGTATCTAATCACACTTGGCCAATAAAAAAATTCTATTCTATTCTATTCTGACTGTCCTCAAATTATGCTTGGAATTCAGTTCCATTGTGATTCAGTGTTGCTTGCGTACAGGAAAACCCGCTTGAGGTTAGAGTGTGTGTTTCTTAGGTTAGGGTTTTCGAAATGAAAAGCCAAAAGGATCCAGTGGCCCTAATGCCATCCCAAGTGTATAAACCTTCGCTGCACATGGACCTGCAGTGGAATAGACTAACTTCCTTTGGGAATATCTCACAGGCTGGAACCGAGACGGCACGATCCATGCGGCAGGAATAAAGACCGATCCTGGCCAGCGGAGACAGGAAGATGGGGTGACTGTAGCCCCAGAGGACATCATGCCTTTTTTGCAGTGCTACTGTTCCGGTCACTGTCCAGAAAATGCCATTAATAACACATGCAAGTAAGTATCGCAGACATAACGAAGACCTGGTGAGATGAGAGGCTTCGAAATCATTTGCCCTCCCTAGTTCTTAATTCCTGATACGTTGGTGATTAAATAATTGCTTTCTTATTTTGAAACATTTCAGAAATGTCAAGATACAACATTTTAACGCCTTAAAAGCTTGTGAACCAGCACAGTTCGTAAAAAGTAAAAAGACGTGATTTGGGCATCTTACACTTGCAGTTTTTTATTGCCCTCTAGTGGTCAAATTTATTATCAACTCTGCCGGTATTGAACGTGTAAGTGCAGGAACCATCTGGTGAATGCACATTTCAAATGCATCGTAATTCTGGAGGCACACAAAGTGGCTGTTCCTATATAGGATTGAAATCCAAATTTCAGATTAGAAAAAATGCCTTTTGTTAGGCCAAATCAGTCATGTTCTGTAACTATGGACTGTTCCTTAAAAAGGAAAGAAAGAAAAATCTACTGGGCCCACTTCATGCCATATAATGGACTCCCAGTCCAGTTATTTCTGGGGCCATAGGACTTGTGTGTGTGTGTGTGTGTGTGTGTGTGTGTGTGTGTGTGTGTGTGTGTGTGTGTAAGTAAATGGAGCAGTGTCTTCTATTTGCAGCTAGTTTCATTTCCCATCAGAGTAGCATGCACTCAATACTGTTAGAAGGAGAAAAAAATATCATTGTTTACTGAACAGACTGGCTGAATGCAGCATTCGGAGAACTAAAGCTAGTTCATCTATTTTTCTAGAACTAACGGACATTGTTTTGCCATCATTGAGGAAGATGAAAATGGAGAAAAAACCCTTTCTTCCGGCTGCATGAAATACGAAGGTTCGGACTTCCAGTGCAAGGTACCTCGCGGCTGATTCTCTAAGCAATTTTCAGAAATAAGGAAGGCGAAGGCGACGCTATTTGCTTTCCCTAAATCTGCTTATCAATTTTTATTAAAACCTAAGCTGCTTGCTGCAGGCCAAGGGCAGCTTATTGATTTTTCCAAAAAGCTTTAAAAGGTTGTCACTTTTATCAAAAATAGTCTGAAAGTTGAGTCATGGCAACTGGATTTATTTTCTTGTTGGTTGAGACATTTCTCTGGCCATCGAAGCAGTTTCTTCAGTCTGAACCAGTTGGCTAGGGGAATCTGAGTAGGCAAACGGTCATGGGAAGGTGCCTGCTCCTAAAATTCTTATTAATAAATTACTATTAATATCAGTAAAAATGACTTCCTGCACCAACCTCAGAGTTTCTTCCCCAAAGTGAGTGGCAATATGTTGATGAAGAATCTCAGTCATCCAGGTAGAATTCTCTGGAAGTTGAGTCATTGTTTGCTGCAAGTCACACTCATATAATGTCACACTTACCCCTCAGTGATTTACTTAATGACCACAGCAGAACTGGTAGTGTGAGTCCTGTATGGTCACGTGATGTTTCATTTATGGACCGCGTCACTTAGCTGGTCCCAATTGCAGTCAGTAGGTGAGGACTATCTATATGAGAGAGACCACCAAGCCAATGCCAGATCTACGGACTAGTGTCTGAGAAGTTGGAAAAAGTTCCAGAACAAGGAGATGACAAACCACATCCATGTGATTCAGAAGACCATTGTGATAGTTGCATGAGGTCTTCAGAGCTTTAGCTTAACTCCAAGGAAACAACTTTATTGTGTATGTGGAAAGCCAGGCAAGATAGAAAGGGTAGCTCTCAAAATATTCTGGAGAAACTTGTGTATGTTCACTAAATACAAAATGCCAAATACTAGAGGAATAAATAGGAAATAAAAAATAAATTAAATTTAAAAATGGAAAATAGAATGGGGCATGCTAGGTGAGAGCCATGGCGGTGCAGTGGTTAGAATGCAGAATTGCAGGCTGACTCTACCCACAGCCGGGAATTCGATCCTGACCGGCTCAAGGTTGACTCAGCCTTCCATCCTTCCAAGGTTAAACGAGGACCCAGATGGTTGGGGACAATGTGCTGACTCTGTAAACCACTCAGAAAGTGCTGTACAGCAGGGGTCTCCAACCTTTGCAACTTTCAGACTTGTGGACTTCAACTCCCAGAAAAGCTGGCTGATGAATTCTGGGAAGTGAAGTCCACAAGTCTTAAAGTTGCCAAGATTGGAGACCTCTGCCATAAAGCACTGTGAAGCGGTACATTATTGCTATTGCTAGGTGAAGGTCACAGCTATGGCTACCTGACCTTCACATCACAACCTTTTGTGGCAGATCTCATTTCTCTATTTTAAATATTGTTTGGAAAGCAACAATATACATAAATGCCTGCTTTCCAGTACTTCGTTGTAGATTCTGGAACATCTGTACATGGTTGTGAAAATATGTATGACTAGCTAATGGTGCAATGTACTTATGTTGTTTATGTTTATGTTCATTGGCCTTCTATACCGCCCTTCTCCCAAAGGACTCAGGGCGGTGTTCAGCCATATTAAAACACATATAGATTTACAGAATTGAAAAACAATTTAAAATCGAATATATAAAAATTTGGCCCACAGATTAAAAACTAACATACACCCATTATAAAATTCATATTAGGCCAGCCCGGCTTGTTGGAACAAAAGGGTCTTCAGGGCGCGGCGAAAGGTACGCAGGTCGGGGATCATACGAACCTCTAGGGGCAGCTCATTCCAGAGGGCTGGTGCCCCCACAGAGAAGGCTCTCCCCCTGGGTGTCGCCAGTCGGCATTGTTTGGCCGACAGCACCCTGAGGAGCCCCTCTCTGTGGGAGCGTATTGGCCGGTGGGAGGCCATCGGTGGCAGAAGGCGGTCTCGTATATATACTTACTTACTTATATACTTACTTTCTTGTGGCCAGACCATTAGTGATCCCTCTACCAAGTCACCTAGTTTTGACCTGTCTCAGAATTAGATGTGATACTGGAAGAATTGTCTCTGCCTGTATCAGTGGGGATGGAAGGATTCTCCTTGTTGCAATTGTGGTGCTGATCTGCAAACTGTTAAACATATTGTGCAAGATTGCCCATAAAGTACGTTCTCTGGTTCCTTAGGAGATCTGCACAAAGCAGTCCAGAGGCCATTGCCTCTGAATATAGCTGAATTGGACATTCAGTTATGAGGGCAGTGCCGTACCCCCCTAGAAGTTTTACTTATAATTACGTAGACTGTATATATGTGTGAAGGAGACGCGGTGGCTCAGTGGCTAAGATGCTGAGTTTGTCGATTGAAAGGACGGCAGTTCAGCAGTTCGAATCCCTAGTGCCGCGTAATGGGGTGAGCTCCCGTTACTAGTTCCAGCTTCTGCCAACCTAGCAGTTCGAAAGCACGTAAAAAATGCAAGTAGAAAAATAGGGACCACCTTTGGTGGGAAGGGAACAGCGTTCCATGCGCCTTTGGCGTTGAGTCATGCCGGCCACATGACCACGGAGAGGTCTTCGGACAGTGCTGGCTCTTTGACTTTGAAACGGAGATGAGCACCGCCCCCTAGAGTCAGGAACGACTAGCACAGATGTGCGATGGGAACCTCTTATATATGTGTGTGTTTACTTCACTTCTGCCATGTTCTCATCATACTCTAAATAATGACAACTAACGGATATATGAATACGGGCATATATATCTTATGTGCTTCTGTGCTGCTTCAGTGTCCAATTTCTTCTGTAGGATTCCCGAGTTGTTCTACGGCGCCGTACCATTGAATGTTGCCGGACCGACTTCTGCAATCAAGATCTGCAGCCCACTCTACCCCCTACTTCAACAGGTACCATGCTTGCTGATATATTCAGTGGGTGGGATCTACGGGGTAGTGCATGAAGATTTTACCCATCTATTTTTCAACCTTGGTCTATCACCCAAGTAACTAATATTCAAGCATCAGAAGACTTAACAATGTGGACATCAATTAGTTCTGAGCATAGTAAAACATATCCTGTTTCCCCGAAAATAAGACCCAACTGAAAAATCAATCCTAGCATGATTTTTCATGATGCTCGTAATATAAGCCCTATTCCCAAAATAAGGCCCAGTTAAGATTGTCAGCCATATGGGTACATTTAGTACCGTATTTCCCCAAAAATATGACCTAACCAGAAAATTAAGCCCTAATTCATCTTTTGGAGCAAAAATTAATATAAGACCCGATTTTATTTTCAGGGAAACACGGTAGTGTAAAACTCTGGGGAAATGTAATATTGTTTACATAGACATCAAATCAGGTGCTAGGCAGATGGCCCTGTTTCAAAGCATTTCAAATCAGAGATCTTTACCTTGTTAATTATGATCTCTGGGGAGTGAAATGCCAGTTGAATAATAATAGAACAACAGATGATGGCATTCCGAGTACAATTTATACACAACAACAATTGCAAAATTGCATTACTGAAGGTAGATTGCAATAAGATTTGTCTAAATCTTGTCTGATCATTTCCGTGAGAGAATTCTGCATTTAATTATGATTACATTAATGCAGTGTTTCTTAACCATGGCAACTTTTAAGATGTATGGACTTCAACTCCCAGAATTCCACAGCCAGGATATGCTGAGGAATTCTGGGAGTTGAAGTCCACACATCTTAAAAGTGGCCAAGGTTGAGAAATACTGTGTTAATATATGTTTATTGTTTGTTTGTTTGTTTGTTTAGATACCTTGTTTGATGGCAGCATACGTTGGATAGCTGTGCTTATTTGCATGGCAGTCTGCATAATTGCCATGATTGCCCTCTTTGGCTGTTTCTGCTACAGGTAAATTATATTGCATATTTGTGGCTTTAATGTGTTGCATTAAAACAGGCTAGACTGGAAGTTTTAAAGGCAGTTTAGAGTTGAACCCAATTTGATTTACATCACTTTTGGTGGTTAAATATGTAGAAAATTGTATAAAGTGGAATAATACTCAGGACATCCCATTACACAGTCTGTAATGGAATGTGGGAGAAACTTTCAAGATTCATGATCTTATTTGTGCTGGATATAAAATATTTTTAATGATTTGGGACCTATATTTGCCTATCTGTTTAATGTTTAATGGTTAATGTTTATGGTTAATATATTCCTTTACATCATATAATCTTATATGGGATCCTGAAGATATTTTCAGAAAATCTGGGATTATTTAAATTCATCTAATTAAGCTTCAGTTATTTAGCTTGATCTCAGTTAAATAGCTCCATACTAAGACAAAGATAAGACATTTTATATGATATTATATCCAGAGATAGAAATTAGGGGGCTCAGTTATCACTTATACTTAAACCGTGCATTCGAGATGAGGCACAAACTGTCTGTTGTTATTCATTTCTGTTATAAGTAGGTAACAATCGCGTAAAATGAACAATTAGGAAATTACAAATGTAAAAATGGAGAAAGTCTGGCATATGATTTTGGAATTACTGTACTTTTGACAAATAAGAATTTTATGTCATGAAGGAGATCAAGATCCGTGAATTTAAATCCGTTTTTCCTCCAGGCATTACTGCAAAGGGGTAGCAAAGAGACGACGTTACAATCGTGATTTGGAGCAGGATGAGGCCTTCATCCCATCTGGGGAATCATTAAAGGATCTTATTGACCAGTCGATCAGCTCTGGCAGTGGTTCAGGACTGCCTCTGTTGGTAAGCCCGTGGTTTAAGAGTTATGTGATTTATAGCAATTGTGCTTAGACTTATATACCACTTCACAGTGCTTTACAACCCTCTGTAAGCAGTTTGCAGAGTCAGCCTCTTGCCCCCAACAATCTGGGTCCTCATTTTACCGACCTTGGAAGGATGGAAGTCCGAGTCAAACTTGAGCCTGGTGAGATTCGAACTGTCAAATTGCAGGCAGCCGGCAGTCAGCAGAAGTAGCCTGCAGTATTGCATTCTAACCACTGCGCCACCATGGCCCTTATAGCAGACTTGTCAAGGTTTCTGTCAGTACGAAAGATGAGGTTCAGGCATGAAGGTTCAGTTTAACTGATTTTATCAATTTAACTTGTGGTTTTTTTGCTAATAACCCATGTACAGGAATCTTCTCAATTATCAGCACCTGGTTAGAGCTAGATAAGATTCAACAGCACACAAAGGGGTTGGACTTAGTTTGTGGCTACGTAGGGATTCTAGGCTGATCCCTCTTTTCACGCCAACCCCTGGCTCTGCCATTCCTTCTCCGACGGCCTAAGCATTCTTGAAGAAAAACAAGCAAAATTAATTCAGTTCCAAGAATTTTGTGTGTTGCTACCGCCTGATTCAATCCTGTGCTTTTCAGCTACGGCCTGCTTCAATTTAAAAGAAAGCTGTTTATGAACGAGCCACTTAAGTGCCTAATCTAGGAAATCCTCAAAGAGGTCACATTGCTTTTTTAGTTCACATCCTTTTTGTAAAAAAAAAAAAAAATAGACGTTCAAACATTTCATCTGCAGCTTGAGAATCCTCAGGTGCCATTTTTAATTTTTTTAAATTTTTTGTCAGGTGCAACGGACGATCGCCAAACAGATTCAGATGATCCAGCAGGTTGGAAAAGGGAGATACGGTGAAGTGTGGATGGGTAAATGGAGAGGGGAAAGGGTAGCCGTGAAAGTGTTTTGCACTCCTGAAGAAGCCAGCTGGTTTCGGGAAACGGAGATTTACCAGACGGTTCTTATGCGCCATGAAAATATACTCGGTAAGCAACGACGCTCACGCTCTGATTGGGTTGTCATTGAAAAGACTTCATACATAATGCAACATTTCTAGCAGAAAATGAAAAGATGACAAAAAGTTTTCTCCAAGGTGTCAGGATGTTTTTCTGTTGTTTTACTGAATTCCATTTGCCTTGTTAGTTGTTAAGGCTTGAAATAGTTTCTCCAGTAAAGTGAAACTTGGATGAGATGAAAAATCCTAGAATCGCCAGCTATATTCCTAAAATTCAGAGTGAGCCAATTTATTCCATTGGATTTGCAGCTAGTAAAGTGTGTAATTTCTGTACAATCTTGTTGAAAAAAAGCAAGGACACACCATTTACAATTTTTGTTTTAGCTTTTCAACTTATCAGCATACAAATGTTAGTTTTTCATTTAAATCGTATTGATAAAGGGGATATAATGTAACAGAAGATCATGCAACATTTACAATTTGTGTTCCAATCTATAATTTAAATAAACATAACTGCAAATTTCACCTGTGGAAAAAGTAAGCACACACCTACATTTATCACTAACTCAGATATCTAAAATTAAAATCAAGTGCAACATGACAAGGACACTAAACATTTCAATAAATCCATTAAGGAACTGCTGAAAAAAAAACAAAGGAAAAAGGGGAAAGGAAAGGGAGAAAGAAGGAAGAAAGGAAAGAGAGAGAGAGAGAAAGAAAGAAAAAAAGAAAGAAAGAAAGAAAGATCTTCAGTGGCCATGTCAAATCCCTGATTTAAATCCCATTGAGATGCTGCGAAGTGATTTAAAACAGGCTGTGCGTGCAAGAAATCCCTCAAAAGATGTATAGTTGAAAAAATTCAGTGTTTCAATGAAGATAACATGTTGATATGTCCAAAAGAGGTGGGGGGAACCTTCATATTTTATTTTTTTCACCTAACTGTTAACATTAGGAAACCTGGAACCACCACGATGAAAAATATAAATCAGAAACTCAAAAATGGGCAACATTTGGCTTTTATTCTCCTAAAAGCTGAATAACTGGATTTGGGTGACAGCTACCTGAGTGAAGAAGCTTGCCTCGTGTCTCCAAAATGCTTTTTAATGTATTCATTATTAATCTCTAAATTTGCTTTTCATTGAATGATTCATGGAAAGCACTTAACCCCCATTCCGTTCCAAATTCTGCAGGGTTCATTGCAGCAGACATTAAAGGCACAGGTTCCTGGACTCATCTCTACCTAATCACCGATTACCACGAAAAGGGCTCGTTGTATGATTTCCTCCAGTATACCACGCTGGACAACAGAGCTTTGTTGAAACTGGCTTATTCTGCTGCGTGTGGCCTCTGCCATCTGCACACGGAAATCTATGGGACCCAAGGCAAGCCTGCTATTGCTCACCGAGACCTGAAGAGCAAAAATATTTTGATCAAAAGGAACGGGACCTGCTGCATTGCAGATTTGGGCCTCGCTGTCAAATTTAACAGGTAGACAATCAACTCCTCCTTTTATAGCAATAGAATTATATACCGCTTTGCGGTGCTTTTGCAGCCCTCTCTAAGTGGTTTTACAGAGTCAGCCTCTTGCGCCCAAGAATTTGAGTCTCATTTTACCCACCTTGGAAGGATGGAAGACTGAGTCAACCTTGAGCCTGGTGAGATTCAAACTGCCAAATTGCAGGCAGCCGGCAGAAGTAGCCTGCAGTACTGCACTCTAACCACTGCGCCATCGCGGCTTTATAGAGAACAGTGCTTCTCAACCTTAGCAACTTTAAGCTGTGTGGACTTCTACTCCCAGAATTCTGGGAGTGGAAGTCCACACAGCTTAAAGTTGCTAAGGCTGAGAGGCATCGATAAAGAAAATTCAGTATTCATATATACAAGGAAGCCTGGAGGTGCATCAACATAGAGATAGTATCAAGGTCATATTAATTGTTAGTACTTATGCTGCACTGGTAAGACCACGCTTGGAATATTGCATCCAATTCTGGTCTCTGCAGTACAAAAATACGTTGAGACTCTAGAAAGAATGCAGGGAAGAGCAACAAAGATGATTAAGGGCCTGGAGGATAAAACATAGGTTGAATGGTAGCAAGAACTGGGAATGTCTAATCTAAAGAAGAGAAGGACTAGGAGTGATTTGATAGCAGTCTTCCAATATTTGAGAGGCTGCCACAGACAGAAGGGGGAGGGGGTCAACCTATTCTCCGAAGCACCTGAGGGCAGGGCAGGAAATAATGAGTAGAAGATCATTAAAGAGAGATCCAGGCTAGAACTAAGGAGAAATTTCCTGACAGAGAGAACAATTAATCAGGAGAACAGTTTGCCTTCAGAAGTTGTGAGTGCTCCATCAGTGGCGGTTTTTAAGAAGAGGTTGGACAACTGTTTGTCCAGAATGGTATAGGGTCGAATGTTTGAGCAGGGGGTTGGACTAGAACACCTCCCAAGTTTCCTTCTAACTCTATTATACTGTTACTATTAGATCATCTAGGTCAACACCTTGTCCCCCCTCAGCAGGTGAATGTTTCCTATAATGAGAGCAACACGGGGGTTTAGAGTTATGCATCTAACCACCTTAATGTGTGGTTGCTTGCCCAAAGATCTAAACAGCATTGTTCCTTTCCATTACAATGAAGAAATCCTTTCAATGCCGAATCTTCAGTAATACCGTTCCATTAATGCTCGAGAAATAACCATATTAGTATAATTTCGGTCTTGGAAGCAGGCGGTTGAAAATGTTCTTCATTGGTAAATTAGTTTAATCTCAGTGCGTTTGCATGAAAATATTACCGTCGTAAATGCTTTGTGTGGTAATTACCATAATTGCACCGTCTTCTGTCGTGTTTTACCTTGTTTCATATCTTTTGCCTTCTTTTAGCGATACAAATGAAGTCGATGTGCCTATAAATACACGGGTGGGCACAAAACGGTACATGGCCCCTGAAGTCCTGGATGAAACTTTGAATAAGAATCATTTCCAGCCGTACATCATGGCCGACATCTACAGCTTCGGCTTGATCATTTGGGAAATGGCTCGGCGATGCATCACAGGAGGTAAACAAAAAACCAAAAAAAATCGCCCCCAAACCCTCTGCAAACAGAACCTTCTGTGTTCCTCTTTGTCTGAATCCTTTTGCGCTAAACGATAAAAGCCGCAATGGCGAACCTATGGCACACGTGCCACAGCGGGGACGCAGAGCCCTCTGCGGGTACGCAAGCCATCACCTAGCTCAGGTCCAGCCACCTGATTTTCGGGATGCGCAGGGGGTGGGGCACATGTGGGAGACACACGTGCATGTGCAGAGGTCGCGTGCACATGCATGGGGGGGTCACATGCGCATGCGCGGGGTAATATGCCTTTCCGGAAGTGAGAAAACAGGCCTGTTTCCGGCCTCCAGAGGGGCTCCGGAGCCCAGGGGAGACCGTTTCCACCCTTCCGGAGGCTCAGGGAAAGCCTCCAGAGCCTGGGAAGGGCAAAACACCACCATCACCCCCGTGGTGTAGGTTGATAAAATTTTTGAATCCCACTGCTCGCACGCAAGATTAGCTATCGCTACGATAGACCAACAAAGAGGATTAAGGGCCTGGAGACTAAAACATGTGAAGGAGAGTTGCAGGAATTGGATAAGTCTAGTCTAGTGAAAAGGAGGACCAGGGTGACAGGATAGCAGTGTTCCCATATTTGAGGGTCGGCCAGAAAGAAGAGGAGGTCAACCTGTTTTCCAAAGCACCTGAAGGCAAGGCAAGAAACAATGGATGGAAACTGATCAAGGAGAAAGCAACCTTAGAACTAAGGAGCAATTTCTTGACAGTTAGAACAATTAACCAGTGATATAGTTTGCCTTCAAAAATTGTGGGTGCCCCATCACTGGAGGCTTTTAAGAAGAGACTGATCAGCCATTTGTCTGAAATGGTATTAGGCAGTGATGGCTAACCTTTTCCGGACTGAATGCCCAAAGCACACGCACACCCAAACCCCCAAAATGCAATGCGTGCACTGCCCTCACGCATGCACAGCAGAGACCCGAAGACCAGGTGGCCGGCGGGAGACACGCGTGCATGCGCAGAAGTGAACTTGGGCGACGGCTCTCGTGCCATCAGAGAGGGTGCTGCGTGCCACCTCTGGCATGTGTGCCATAGGTTCTCCATCATTGGTATAGGGCAGGGGTCAGCAACCTTAAACACTCAAAAGAGCCACAAAGGTCCTAACTGGAAGCTCCCATTCAATTCTGGAGTCGACCGGAAGTCCGGTTCCCCCACCAAAGTCTCCTCCTAGCATGGCATCCTTTTTCCTCTACCTGTCTTAACCGAAAGCCCTATCAATTGTGGAGCCGACCAGCAAGAGGGAGCCCCAGCAGAGGGATGAAAGAGCCACATGCGGCTCCGGAGCCCTGGGTTGCTGACTCCTGTTATAGGGTCTCCTGCTTGAACAAGGGGGTTAGACTGGAAGACCTCCAAGGTCATCTTCTGTTATTCTGTTAAATACTAAAAGTGGCATCTGAACAACCCAGGATAACAACCCCCAGGGGCTCCGGTTGGCCCCTGACCTTCGCACTTTCCGCCGCGAACTAAAAACATGGCTATTTAAATTGCCCAGCCTGGACTGATGGGGTTTTTTATTTTTAATGTATTTTAATATGTGTTTAATATGTATTTTAACATGTTTCTTACTTGGATTGAGATTGAGATTGAGATTGAGATTGTATATCTTAATTGTTGTGAGTATGGAGATAGGGCGGCATATAAATCTAATTAAATTAAAATAAAATAAAATAAAATAAAAAAATAATAAAATAAAATAAAATAAAATAAAATAATAAAATAAAATAATAAAATAAAATAAAATAATAAAATAAAATAAAATAAAATAAAATAAAATAAAATAAAATAATAAAATAAATAATAAAATAAAATAATAAAATAATAATAAAATAAAATAATAAAATAAAGAATCTCTCATTCTTGAGGGCCTTTTATATAGTGCTCTGTTTTAACTGTAGTTGTGAGGAAATTTTATATATATTTTGCCACACCCTCTGCATGAGAAATAGGATGCAAATAGAATGGAAGGCAGGTGGGCTGTCTAGTGCTTTTTTCTTCTTTGGGACTGATTGGATTTGCTCCAGAAATAGAAATAGAGAAAGCTACAAATGGCTCTCTTTTTGTTCACAGTCTTCTTCAAACTGGGGAAATTGAGCCTGTGAGAGTTTAACTGCACATTTTCTATGGACTGTTAGAGCATAACTCATTCCAATATTTATAGCGGCCGTGAATTTCTTGCAGGGATTGTTGAAGAATACCAACTCCCCTATTACGATATGGTCCCGAACGATCCTTCATTCGAGGACATGAGAGAGGTGGTCTGCGTGAAGCATCTGCGCCCAGTGGTGTCAAATCGATGGAATAGTGATGAGGTAAGCACCACACAATAAGGGACATGGCAGCTAAGATGCTGAGCTTGTTGATCGAAAGGTCGGCAGTTCAGCAGTTCGAATCCCTAGTGCTGCGTAACGGGGTGAGCTCCCGTTACTTGTCCCAGCTTCTGCCAACCTAGCAGTTCAAAAGTACGTAAAAAATTCAAGTAGAAAAATAGGGACCACCTTTGGTGGGAAGGTAAGAGTGTTCCGTGCACCTTTGGTGTTGAGTCATGCCAGCCACATGACCACGGAGACGTCTTCAGACAGCGCTGGCTCTTCGGCTTTGAAACGGAGATGAGCACCGCCCCCTAGAGTCGGGAACAACTAGCACTAGTGCGAGGGGAACCTTTACCTTTAAGCACCACACAAGGAATGAAATCTCTGTGATGGCAGATTTTGTTTCTCTTGCTTACAAAAAGATCCCATGCCTTCTGGCTGGCTTCTGATTGGGATCTTTTTGTCCACCAGGACTACAAAGTTCCGAGTAGGCAGAAAAAATGCTTTTCTTTCAAGTTTAGAACAAAACAAAACAATGCTATCCACCATGCTGGAGAACTCGGTCACATCATGTCATTCCGAGAAATTGTTTTGCTGAACAATTAATGCAACATCAAAGCGCTTTGAATATAATAATGGTCAAAGGACACCTTTAAATTTGGTTACTTTGTTAATATTTTTGCCAATAGATTATCCATACATGTAAAGCACTGTTTTGTCTTAAAATACTAAGAGTAGATATTTAAAATGCTTTTATTTCCTAAAATCTGATTTCTCAATATATGTATGCATACCCAGTTACTAGACTCCTTTAAAAAGATACTTTCTTAAATTGGTTTTTGTGTTCTTTGCCTCTTTGTATTATTATTGCCTCTGGGTTTTTTTATTTATCTTTTATTCCAAAATAAAGGATACTACAGTAGTTAACTCCAAAGTAAAGGATACTACAGTAGTTTCATCCTTTAATTTATGCTATGTAGTCCTCTGTTACTAGTTTTCTGGCATTTCTTTTTCTCATTCCTTTCTTCATCTGTGCTTCTCTCTTATTAAGCCCAGGAATTCCATTGTTATTATGGAATTCCTGGTCACTTCATCTACTTTGGAATTTTCTCATGCTTGACCTGATGTTATTTTTCTCTGTGTGACCAGTTGTAAATTGGGCATAGTGGGGCTGGCGTATGTTACAATGTTGGTTGGTTAATATTATTTCTGTGTATTCCTTTCGATGAGATTTTCTTTTCTGTTCTGTTTCCAGTGTTTAAGAGCCATACTGAAGTTAATGTGCGAATGCTGGGCCCACAACCCAGCCTCTAGACTGACCGCCTTGAGGATTAAGAAAACCCTGGGCAAGATGGTGGAATCGCAAGATGTTAAAATTTGACAAAGAAACGTCGCAGAAGAGTGAATTTGGGACTCTTAAGAGCTGTTCACTCAACCCCAGAGCAGGTTTGGTGGGATCAGGAGGGGACCTCTGACTTTCAGCCCACACTTCCTCGCTAATTCTACAGGCTGCTAATAAATATTAAAATTTTAATAAGAACATGGGATCCATGCACACGATACAGTACACGCATGGATGGCCTTATCTTTTTTTTTTTATTATTTTGAGCTGCATTAAGATTTTAATCCCAGTTTTTAGAGTCCCATCGGTTTCTTTAGGGCTGAATTGAACATTCAGATTGATTGCGCTTTCTGTGAAAGCCTTAAGTTAAATGAACGCAACAGCAAACAAAAGAAAAAACAGAATCAAGCTTTTTTTGTCTCCTACATTGATGTTACCTAACCAGGACTTGACAGAATAGCCTGTGTGTCTGGGACACTTAAGTAATTGGACAAGTCCCTTAAGTCTTGTACAATGTTGTGCCAGGATTTTTCTCCCATGTTTGGAGTACTTAAGAAGCCATTCAATTTTGTGCAAAGCTACCGTTTCTTTTTTTTCTTTTTTTTTCCACGATGCCTTCGAGATGCGAAAAAGAGTTACTTCTACCTTCCTTTTGTGTTTGCGTCAAGGACGACCCAAACAGCCCCTATGAATTTGTGCACAGCTTTCTTTTCAAGTTTGATGCGAAGATCGAAATCAACATCCAGGGCTGTTCCTGAAGACCCGAGCCCGCCACATCGAACCGCAGAATTGCTTTGATCATTTTTAAGTGCCTGTAATCTTGTACTGTAAACAGTGCCATAGCTGGTTAGTTGGTTGGTTGGTTTTTTGTTTGTTTTGTTTGTTTTGTTTTTTTTGAAAAGGGAAATTATTTATGCAGTACGCAGAGTGCTTTTATTTCCTGCTCTTCGTATGTGTGTAAACATGCCGTGCAGAGATCTGAAAGTAATTTTCAAAGTCATTAGGTTCCATTAGAAACACACCTGCTGGATGTGACACTTTTTGAATAGTGCATTGGAATAGATGCATGGATATTACACAAGCGTTTAAATTTTCCTTTGAGAAGCATTCGGTTGAAGATTTAATTGCAGGAGTGTCCATCCTTGAAGGGAACTTGAAGATTTCTGGACTTCAACTCCCAGAATTCCCCAGCTAGCTGGCTGGGGAATTCTGGGAATTGAAGTCCACGGTTCTTAAAGTTGCCAAGGTGTTAGACACACTTGCTTTAATTCAACTTGAGTGTGAATTGAAGCAACAATGGCATGTAAGGGATTTTGGGTCAGGCAATACACAGCAGTATTCATTTAATTTATAACTTGGTGTACACATTTTATTTAACATTTCTTTAAGTCACTTGCTCGCTCAGCAATGCCTTTTAAGTATTAGTGCATATTCCTCCGAACGGATAATAGGTACATAAACTATGGATTAATTTATTGAGAAGGCAGCAAACGACGACAACATTTTGCCAGCAGTCCTTAGCGAGAGACCCATTCTTCTGTCCATTGCTCAGAAGGTAGTGTAAGGTTCTGAAATTTACCTCATGTCTTGTTTTCCACAAGCAGTTAAAGATTACTTGGGATAAACCAGGGGAGAAATGCTACCGGCTCGCACCGGTTCTGGCGAACTGGTAGTACAAAAAAGCTACCGTTTCATCCAAACCGGTATTTCCGACGATCAGCTGTGCCACGCAATTAGCGAATCTAAATCACGCAGCACAGCTGTTCCCCCCCACTCGCTGTTCTACTTACCTTCCCAAGCCTCCTTTTTCCATGCGAAGCGCGCATTTGACGTGCACTGTGCGTGCTCACAGTGTGCATTTGGTGTGCACTGTGCATGCGCGGGCGGCAAACCAGGTGTTGTGACCAAGGCCCAAGTAGTGATTACCAAACACAATTCAGTCCTGAACAAACTTATTCTACAAACAACCCAACAGCTCGTTGCTGCTCTTTTAAGCCTTATGGGAGTGGCCAATCATCTTTTGGCCTTACTCCCGAGTTGTCCTTTTTTCTTCAACTACTTTTGCCTTCTGGCAGCTCTTCACATGCGTGCACTAGGAACAGGCTCCTCCTGTTCCTCTGCCTCTCTGCTGTCCGCCTCTGGAGGTTCTGGAGTCCATGCATCACTCTCAGATGGCCCTGGCCCCATCTCTTGTCTCCAAGGCAGAGCCCTCGTCCGGGGCTTCCCCTGACTCCAGGACTGGCCCATGGTCCTCCCCAGCCTCCTCGCTGTCCGACTATGCTTCCAAGTCCGCAGGCTGCTGGTGGAACACAACACCGGGGAGGATTTCACCACTGGAATAAACCAAATTATTAATGTAGACCAGCTTTTTTTTTCTTTGCCTTCTGTGCGTTCCGAGATTTCTTTCTAACTTCCATACCGCTATGTCCACTAAGGATCACTCATCCGGCAGGTGCCACACCAGTATAGTTCGCAACCCGATGACATTCTAGAGATCCAGATACCCAACTTTCTCTTAATTTTTCTCTTAATCTTGAAACAACCTCTGTAGCGGTGAGCAATCATGGTCTTCTTGTAGTGATCTTCTGAAGAAGGGGGGTGGTCTCGGGCTTCTTGAGAATACAGATAAGAAACCCCCGTTCTAGCCAAATTCTTTTAAATCAAAATTCCATCTAAGCCAAGATTTGTTTACAAAAAATATCATGCCTCTTTGGAAATTTTGGTGAGGAGTATGTCAGTTTATTTGGCCGGTGTACTTCCGCCTTAGGGTAGGTAAAGTGCTGACTATTAATATTCACATTTTTTTTAAAGCTTTAGAATAAAAGACAATCTAGTTAATGTCATATTTGGTCAGAGCCATTGCTCTTTGGATCCGGTAGGCCTCCTAATTTGTTGTTATATCTATGAATTGTTAAATATCCTTTACATTTTCTTAACACACCTTAGTATAGATCAGCTGTTCTGGTCTGGTGATCTCCAATAGGATAGGGATTACAGTTTCCAGAGTGGACTACAGCTGCATAACACAGTGAGCTCCCTTCGTTTCAAAATAACCCACATCGGCATAATCAAAGCAACACACTCCTGAATGAAAAGCACCAATTTTTCCCCCTTTCTCTGCAATTTAACAGTAGGAGAATAATTCACAGTCAGAACTCCTGAGATTAATCGTATCAGTTTAATTCTGCTCTAGAAAATGATGTCATTTATTTGACTACTAACTCTTTGCCTTACTCTTACCTTACTCTTTCAGCTAACTTGTTGTTGCTATCAGTCACAGTACACGGGAGTAAATTTCAGCATATGTTTGTCTGGAACCTGCCTCGCAGCCTTGATTTTTTAATTGAAAAAAAAAGCATAGCTTCTCCTTAATATTTCCCAGGCTGTTAATCACTTAGTCTGTAATTCAACAGGTCTCTTCCAGCGCCTTAAGTTTTATTGATACATCTTCCAGCCCACATTGCCTTTTTTTGAAGTGCACATTTATCACAGGTCACTTGATGGACCTGAGCGAAACAGTGATTGGATGCCTTTTGCTGAACTTACAACTTAGAACTGGTTGTTTTAAGATGATGGATAATTCAGAATTTCCTACTTTCATGTGCAAGAGATAGAGACTCTACGTCTCCATCTCTTGTGGGATAAAACTCTTCCTGGGACACGATAGGTCTAACACAAATGGCCAAGCTGGACTACGCAAAATTGTGCTGTGTGCTTGATTCAACCGCCATTGGATATTAATGGGGGATGTTTGTGGCAGTGTAAGGGAAGGACTTTGAGAAGATTTCAGCTGACTACGTTGCAAGCAAATAAAGAAACAGGATGTTCATTATAGCGAGAGTGAACTGTGCAGAAGTTGTCAGAATTCAACATGGTTTTGCTTTGTGTTTTAAACCAGGAGTCTCCAACCGTGGCAACTTTAGGACTTGTGGACTTCAACTCCCAGAATTCCCCAGCCAGCATGGTCTTAAAGTTGCCAAGGTTGGAGACCCCTGGTTTAAACTAATGGCCTTCTTAGGTAACAGCCTTATTTTTACAACCCTGCCCAATGTAGAAAGTTTTGATAGCGGTATATTGTGCTTTTCAATCAGGTTGCTCTTAGGGAGTACATACCTCTTCTTCAAAAAAATACTTTGTAATGTCTTCCATTATGTGCTGTGCAGATTGATGCCTGACCAGCGGGTATGTGCCTTTGAACTGTGCTTTTAAGAAAACCTTCCACCTTAAAAAGCTCTTACGAATGGAAGCCTTGAGATTAATACGAAATCATCAGAAGAAAATGTTCCTGATTGTAGGGGAAGAAGATTTCCATATGTTTTACTCCTTGTTGGGGAATGAATGGTGTTAGAAGCAACAGGCAGGTGCGGCTACTTTGTAGGCGTTTGACAGTTAGTAGCCATTCACGTAACCCCATGCAAGATTCACCTTTCTTACTCTAAAGTGTTCCTCCTGTTGTAATCTGCTCAGTGGCCCTTCTGCTCCTTGAAGTTGTCAGTGTTCATTCTGTGGGACAAGACATTAATTACGGAGATGTAAATGAAAGATTTATATCTCCATTTGCAAAATGCCGTCAAACGTCACCATAATGTTCTGTCCCCGTCTCACACACGCACACGAACAGTCAGCCAGGAGTTAATAAAACCAGCAATCAGGATTTTCTTTGAGATAACAGCATTGGCAGCAACCCAGTAGCTGCTTGCCAAAAACTTTATTCACAAAGGGAGGTTTTCCTCCTCCGCCAGATAAACCAAAATAAGTTCACAAAGCCAAAGAATTGTCAAGTCCAGTCCATAATAAATCCAAGGAAGGCATATAACGAAGTTCCAGAAACACAGTATGACTTGCTAGCTGTTCAGTTTTGTCCGTCACAAAGCCTGAATGGCCACCACATCCCCTTTTATCCCCTGTGGGGTGTGGTCCAGTGACTCAGCTTAATCTCTGGCACGCCTCCTTCTCTGCTGTGTGTGCATGTCTTTCCGACGCTGTCGGGGATCCAGCCAAGACTTATCTCCATCACTGTCTAACTGCGGCTGCTCGGAAGTGCCTGGCTCCTGGCCTATCTCTTCTCCTTCGGAAGACACCTGAGGCATTGCCAGAGAGGAGGTTCCTGGAGAGGGAGGCCTTGCCAACTCCTCTCCTTCACTTTCGGAGTCTTCTCCCTCCAATAAGACGGGCTCGGGGGTCGGAGTCACAACACTTCATTTGAGAGATGAAACCCCCTTTTGCAAAAAGAAGGAATCTTATTGGTGCCATTAAATCAGAGGTCTCCAACCTTGGCAACTTTAAGACTTGTGGACTTCAACTCCCAGAATTCCTCAGACAGTTGCCAAGGTTGGAGACCCTTGCATTAAACAATCCAAGAGCCTCACATGCCATCAGAGGTCTGCTTGTCCTGAGAGGCTGGTGTCAATCAGCCTTCCACGTTTCAAGAAGGACGCTCTGCTTCAGTGAATCCATCAAAGTCCCTTTGGCTCATCTCAGTGATAGCAATAGCGCTTAGACTTATATACCGCTTCACAGTGCTTTACAGCCCTCTCTAAGCGGTTTACAGAGTCATCATACTTCCTCCCAGCAATCTGGGTCCTCATTTTACTGACCTCAGAAGGACAGAAGGCTGAGTCAACCTTGAGCCTTGTGAGATTTGAGCTGCCAAATTGCAGGCAGTCAGCAGAAGTAGCCTGCAGTACTGCACTCTAACCACTGCGCCACCGCGGTTTTAAAGGTATTAAAGGATACCTTTAATTTCTCATACTTATTTCCTCAGTGCTTCTTGCTCTATTGGGTTCCTTTTTTAAGGCCATTTGTCAGTGGATCCAGTTCATTCAGTTTACACCACCTAAAGCACGGAGGGCAGAAAAATCCTCTCCAGCTCTCACAAGCACTGGGATTCTTGCGGTCAAAGAGAGAAAGAGCGTGCAAAAATCGACCTGCAATTGTGTCAACCGATCCTAAATGAGAAAGTGCCAAATTCCGCTGGGTGGTGCACGGGGAAGATTTGGTCTTTGGTGAAACTGTCTTGCATTTGATCCATTTTCTGATCTGGTGACAGCGGTTAAATATAAAGTTGCCCTTGTCTTACGTTTTGCTAAATTTTCAGTGCTTGTGAGTCTTCTCACAGTCGATTGTGGTGGCAAATGCTGGTTTACGAGCAGCGGTGGGTTTTCAATATTCTTACCCCCGGTTTGGCACGCTTGCTATGCACGTGCACCCGGCCTCAAGAACATGGATAAATAGGACGGCATGACATCGGGGTGGGTACTACCGGTTCACCTGAACCGATACAAACCGGCTGAATACCACCTCTGTTTACGAGGCAGGGAGATCACCAGAAACAGGCTGTTGCAGACATCTCCATGAGTTGAAACAGATGTTTCCACGTTTTGTGGGGGGAAAAATCTCCATAATAGAGAAATGTCCCTGTCTTGCCTCAATTTTTATTTTTATTTTTTGAAACAGGTGGGTTCTCCAATTTAAAGGCTTGTTACTGGTGTAATAAATGTGGAAGGAACAATGCTTTTTGTCCACATTCAATCATCTCATTATAGTTTTGCCTAATGACCTTGAGTGCAGTATAGAATTTCACTTCATGTACTCTTACCTGCTCTGGCTTTTTCCTGCCTTATATAAAAATGTATTATATTGTATACAGAAAGAATAATGTAGCTGACTTTAGAGACTGTAAATAAAGAAGAGAGGGTGAAAACAGCTTGATTATATTCCTTTTGTTACAGATGCCAGAGCATTGTAGAATGTTTTTAAAATGTACTGGTGATTACTTTTTCTTTTTCTTTTTCTTTTTCTTTCTTTTTTTTTTTTTTGTATCACATCCGTTTTAAAAGGTGCCTTATGTTTACCATGAATTGCTTTGTTCTGTACACAAGTTTATGTCACTGTATCATATATTTTTTTTGAGTAAATAACCTTATTTTAGTAAACGTTAGTAATATATTTGTTCCTGAGCAGTTTTAATAATGGGTGGCTGCAGAATTCCAGATCTACCGTGGTCTCTTTTGCTTTTAAAAAAAAAGAGTGTGGGAAAAATACCTGCTCAAGTATAAGAAGACACGTCTGTTCAGAAAATTAGCACAGCATTTTTCAGCTACGTTAAAAAATGATGAAGATGCACAGAGAAGGCTAGATGGATGGATGGATATTTGGATGAATGGGTGGATGTTTCGGTGGGTGGGTAGGTGGATGGATGGATGGATAGGTAGATGTTTGGGTGGGTGAATGGATGGATGATCTTAGTACAGCTGCCACGGTTGGTGTTCCCACAATCCATTTACCAAAAAGGTTGATGCTGCAAGCAGGATTTTACCCTGTGTTCTGTCCCCGCCGCACGCACACACACACACACAGACAGCCAGGAGTTAATGAATCAAACAGTCAGGAGTTTCTTTAAGATAACAGACTTGGCAACGAACCATGAACTGCCTGCCAAGAAATTTTACTCACTAAGGGAGGTTTTTTCTCCTCAGTCCGATATACCAAATTAATTCCACAAAGCAAAGAATTGTCAAAGTCCAGTCCGAAGAAATCCAAAAAGAGATTCTAAAAGAGATTCTAGGGTTCTAGAAACACGATATGACTTCCGAGCTTTTCAATTTGTCCGTCACAAGGCCTGAATAGCTGACACAACCCCTTTTATCCCTTGTAGGGTGTGGTCCAGTGACTCAGCTCAATCTCTGGCCTGCCCACGCCTCTTTCTCTGCTGCGTGCGCTTATCCTTCCGACACTGTCTGGGATCCAGCCAAAACTCATCCCTCTCACTCTCTATCTGCAGCTGCTCCGAAGTGCCTTGCTCCTGGCATATCTCTTGGCCTTCGGAGGAAACCTGAGGCATTGCCAGAGAGGAGGGTCCTGGAGAGGGAGGCCTTGCCAATTCCTCTCCTTCACCTTCTGAGTCCTCTCCCTCTGTTAGGACAGGCTCGGGTGTCGGAGTCACAACACTCTGGCAACTTAATTTGAAGTTCATTCCTTGATCCAATTGGCCGTTTTTCCCCCACCACCACCACCAATCTTGCTGTTTATCCCCCTTTTACCAAAAAGTCCTTTTATGTTTGCTCCCAATTCCTTTTGGGATCCTTATAGAAACTTTGGAATTTCTAAGAGCCTTATTATGTGTGACCAACACAAGAATCCACGTTTTGTGGGATGAGTTTCCAGGTAATGTTGATGTCAGCACTTCAAACTACATTTGTTCCAGTGCTGACATGAGGAGAAGAGGGGGCAGCTGGCAAGAGGATGCTTGACTTTTCACCTACTTATTTTCCCTGAAGATAATATCCCCTAGGAGATGGGGTGGGAGGGGGGACATTCCTGGAACTGAAGTAGTAGATATGGGGAGAGTAATTTGGAAGATGACCAATGAGATGCAGAGAATTGGGGAACGGAAAGGAAAGGTTTGGGGTCAGGAAGTCAGTGTTGGCTTCGACATAATCGGGGACAGTTTGTCGTGCTTAATAAATGAAAGATTTCATCAAAGATTATCTGTTTGGAAATGCAATTTATTTGAGATGACATCGAAACCTGACAGTTGAATCTTTTGACAGAGGCTCAGTGTGAAGAGGCTAACCCCGTGATGGCGGACCTATGGCACACGTGCCACAGCTTGCACACAGAGCCTTCTCTGTGGGCACGCAAGCTGTCGCCCAACTCAGCTCCACCGCACATGCGTGCACGCCTCCCACCGGCCAGCTGATTTTGGGGGTGGGCAGGGTGCATGTGGGAGATGCACGCGCATGCGCAGAGGGGGTTCTGTGCGGGAGGGTGGGGGGCATGTGTGCAGGGGACAAGGGAGCATGGGGGCGCACCCCCCACAGCCCATTTTTGGGCTCAGGAAGCTGCAGGGAGACCTGCTAGGCCCAAAACAGGGCATGGGGGATAGCCCCCCCCCATGGCCCATTTTTGGACCCAGGAGGCTGTAGGGAGGCCTGCTAGGCCAAAAATGGGTGGGGGGTCACATTCACAGGGGCAGGGAGAGCGTGGGGGGGTCATGCACATATGCGCAGGGAGGGCGCATTGAGCACACGCTATTGCACGCGTGCTTTCAGCACACAACGACAAAAAGGTTAGACATCACTCAGCTCTCTGATGCGCCATTTAAAACATGATGTCAACATGTTGCGTTCTTGTTTAAAAGCCACAATCCTGATGCCACAACTTAACCCCATCAAGATGGGTCAGAACATAACAAAAGATATCCTGGGATGTTTCAATTTAATACTATTGCGGTAACTTGAAAGTTACCATAAATGCTAAATTTCCTATCTGCGATGATTGTTGCTATTCTCCAATTGTGTTTTGTGCCAAGGAGAATTACAAGTCAGACACTAAATTGATGGAGAATATTTATAGTTCAGGGTTGACCTGAGGGGTCCTTGGTCTCTTTAAGTTTGGTTGTTTTCTTGCAAACGTTTCATGACTTCATCAGTGACTGATGATGTTACCTAGTTTGGGCCATGAAATCTGCAAAAAAAAAAAAAAAAAACCAACCAAGCTCAGAGAGCACCAAGGTCCTCTCAGTCATTAAATCATAGGATTTAAATATGTCACACTTAACTACAAAATTTAAACATGACATACTTGGCTGGGTATGATTTTTAAAGAAACGTTTCAGCCATACACAACAGTCCTTGCTTTCAATGGGATTTAAACACGAGTACTATTAACTGGGCGTGGCTAATTCAGAGTTTTCATTTACTCAATTTTATGCAGAGACCCTTCTCTGAATTTCTTGTTTTTAAATTGCTTGGTATCCATTGCAGCAGAGGGAAATTGGTGAAAGAGACAGCAGTTGGATCCCAGTCCTGTATTTTACACAGAATGTGCTTAAAATTGTGTGCCAGATTCATTCCCAGCTGCTCATATTATTTGATAAGTCGCTGTCCGTGTATTTAAATTCAGAATCCAACTCGGAGTTGCTTGGCCCTGCGTCAGGCAGTGAAATTAGTACCCAAAGTGATCTTCAGCATGTACAGTAAAGATTATTCTTAGTTGGTGTAGTTTGTTGATGTATGATGACTGGATTATAGCCTGATATCATCTGGAGGTATCCTGATATAAACATCAACTACTGTAGGTTCAGTTTTCCGTAGCTTCCATTCTTGGACAAAGGCAAATTAATTGTGTCAAAAATGGCTTATTTCTTATTTCTTAACATATATTTGCGAAACCACTGATTTTACCCATCCTTGTTTTGTTTTTTTTTAAATATTACTAGAAATAAATTGGAACCAGGCTCTTTGATCCCACAGTTTTCAACACATGAATTTTAGAAATAATCACTCCCAAGTACATTTAATACAGGATGTTTTTAAAAAATTCGGGCTCAGGAAGGTCAACAGAGTGAAATATTTCTTGACAATGGGTCACCTTTAAACAACACTTTTTAAGAATTGTCTCTTTTGGTTGATCTCCGTTAGCTACTTACAGATCATTTAAGAGGATGGAAGAAATGCCTTGATGCTTTCCTTGAGGTTCTAATCTTTCGGTGTGACTATAGATCAGGGGTGTCAAACTCAAGACCTAGGGGCCAGATCCAGTCTGCAGGGTGCTTAGAACTGGCCTACAGGGCTGCCGTAGAAACAGCAAAAGACTGGCCCGTGGTGCCTCTCAGCAAAAGCAGAGTTTGGAAGGGCTGCATGTGGCCCTCCTGGGCTCCCGTTTTCAGCCGTGACGGCCTCCTGCAGCCCTCTGTCAGCAAAAGCGGAGCTTGGAGTGCCATGCATGGCCTCGAGCTCCTTTTTCACTGGCAGGAGGCCATCGCAGCTGAAAACAGAGCTGGGGAGTCTGTTTTCGCTGGCAGAGTGCTCAGGCCACCACAGATGCCGCTGACATAAGTGACGTCAAGCTGGCCATGCCCATCCTGGCCACGCCCACTCTGGCCCCCGAGGTCAAACACAACCCTGATGCGGCCCTCAATGAAATTGAGTTTGACACTCGTGCTATAGATGGTGCAGGAAGAAACAAGCTGCATCCGTTAAACAAGTTTCTTTGGACAATATGAGGCACAAAGTTGGGTTTTTCCATGAATGGGTTTCAGAAGCATTGCTCTCTCTTCCTAGTTATAGTTTGGCTCTGCAACTGTGGGTGTTGGAATCGGACATGACATTTTATTTATAAAATTTATTTCCTGCCCATCTCGTATCCAACAACTCTGGGGCAGCTGACAACACAAAAATGTTGAGGACGACAAAAGAACAAAAACTGTCACAAGCACTAAGTTTCTAATTCTTCAGGTAGACCATAAATCAGGGGTGTCAAATTTTCCCGCAGGCCGGATGCGTCATGCACTGGTCACGCCCACAGCCAGTTTAGCGAAGGGGGGAAAAGTCACATGATAACGTGACATCGCGAGTTTGACACCCCTGCTATAGATGATGCAGGAAGAAACAAGCCACACGCGTTATACAAAGTCGTTTGTTTGGATAAAGTTGGGTTTTTCCATGGATGGGTTCTAGAAGCATTACTCTCTCTTCCTACTCGTAGCCTGGCTCTGCAAATTGTGGGTGTGGGGGATCAGACTTGAGATTTTTATTTATAAAATTTATTTGCCGCCCATCTCATATCCAACAATTCTGAGGCGGCTGACAACACAAGAATGTTGAGGACAACAAAGGGGGAAAAATGTCACCTGCCTCATGGCCAGTTGAAGAAACAGATTGACTTCTGCAACTCCACCTTGCTTGAACTAAGCAGCTACTGAAGTCCTTCTAGAAAGCATTGCTGAGCTAATGTCCTAGCGCAGAGGAAAACAGGTCGTTCATTGAAACATCAAACTGACTGCGCTCACCGGAAGATCCCTGCTATCATCAAGGTCTCCCTTCTCAGGTTTTCAGTAGCAGGAATCCCGCCATGCTCAGCCCAACTGTGTTCTGTCTCACGGCGTCCCCTTGCACCAGTTCAAACCACATCAAGTCTCCCTTCTCCAGCTCCACCAGGGCGAAAACTGTTGTATAACCACCGCTGGATTTCCTCTTCTTGTTGTTTATTAGAGTCATTCTGTGGCCATTGCTGAAAACTAGTTGTCCCAAAGCAGGTCCTGGGGGAAACTCGGCACCGACCGCCACCATATAAACCCCGTTATGAGAGGCCTTGAAGTAGCCACGTTCGTGAGAGTAACCTCCTCCATAGTTAAGGTAGGTGCGGTTAAAGACGGAGGGCTCCTCTTTATCTTCGGCATATTGCACATAAAAAGCCACCGCTGTGTCTGCAGGTAAGAAAATGGGAAAAAATTAGGGGATGCAAACAGAATTCCGTGTAACTGTAGCACTTATGAAGTAACTGTAGACATTCTAGTGAGCTTCTTCCAAACCAGCTTGGAAATGAATATTAAGACATGTAGCAGAGGCCAACAGAGTGGCCAAAATTGTAGAAACCTTTTGGGGAAAGTGTATTTTCTAAAACTAGCTAATAACACCACTTTTTGGGGGGCCTAGTACCATAAAACTCTATATCAATGGAAATATAATTTAATCAAGAATCTAATGCAATAAATTTTATGAAGGGTTTGCTATTAGAATAGCAGTTACAGTATAAAGAAGAAAAGCGAAACACGTAGAAAAACGAGATATACAAAAATTATCACCATAGAAAAAATGAGATAGACAAAAATTATCACGTCAGTTAATACTTAGTTTAGCATGAATTATGGCCTTACAACATCTTCCCATGGAGTGAACCAAGTCTTTTAGTCCTGCAGCTGTTATAATGTGAAACCAAGATTGAAAGATTGCTTCTATTAACTGGGTTTTATTGCTGGGTCGCTTCTGACTAACAAGTTTCTTGAGTTGCCTCCATCGATTTTCAATTGAGTTAAGGTCTGGGCTATTCCCAGGCCATTCCAGCAGTGGAATAGGATTATCTTGAAACTCAAAAAAAAAAAAAAAAAAGTGACGTTATTAGCCATCAAACCTCAAAAATATACTTTCCCCAAAAGGTTTCCACAATTTTGGCCACTACTGTACAAGATAAAACTTACTCCCAAATTTTTCTCTGATCCAGATTGTGATTCCCAGTTTTCCCCAGTCATCGAAGACTGTCTCCATCTCCCTCTTCCATCCTTGCTACCTCCTCAAATATATTCTATATCTTAACTTAATGGTGATGTCAAGAACTGCACTGCCACAAGGAATTCTAACATCTCGCCATATCATCGGCAGACCCCACAGCTTCATCAACTGAAGTTTCTCCGGGTGATTCTGCTTAATGCAATAATTCTTCATCTCTTGTGTGTTTGCCCTAAATGCTCCCCTATAGAGAGATGAGAAATAAGGAGTCTGTGCAGGCTTGAGCTGTCAAGGGGTTTGACGTGGATATAAGTGAAGACTGGTGGTCGTCTCCAGTTTAGACAATATGTTGTACATACATATACAAGCACCGCCTATGAAACAAAGTGGTTTGTTTGGACAATACGATGCACAAAGCACAACTATTGGTGCTCAGTGTATGGATAAACACAACTCACAGGACCTTCTCTGGATCTGTAGAGGTGGAGTTATCCATAAGTAGATCAACCAGGTCCAAATAGGACTTTTTTTTCTTATCCAAAAGGTGAAAAAAGGATAATATTTCCCTTCCTCGTTCTATGAAGGAGAAAAACAAAGGCCTCTAGGAAACAGATAAAACACAGTCTACTTCTGGGATTAGACACATAACTCAACCGCCAAAGCAAAGCACGAGAAGTCCTGAAAACCTCCCATCCAACATTGTCTCAGGGAAGGAGGTGGACACCAGAAGGTGGCATCCGCTCTGCATCTCAACAAAGGTTCCTGCAATGCCATCTGGGAAGCAGTTCAGCTTGGGAAGAGGACGATGGCCAGGAGATGTCGCTGCTAACAAAGCAAAATAACTTCACCAGCAAAGAAAAATACTTGAAACTCGAGACTTTAATCAGGCAGCTTCCTGCAGGTCCCTTTTAGCTGTTGCCATCTTATTGATAAACTCCAACTTTTTTTATATAAACTGGGTGGTTATTTTCCTAAGCTTTAAAAAAAAAAAAACTCTGGGTCATTACCGCTCCATGTTTAATAAAGAGAGATATTGAAAGCTAATCAAGGGCAGAGGGTACATTTTTCACTCTGAATCTCTGGTACAACATACTTTTGTAAATAATATGGGTTTTTTTCATCCCAGCAGAGGAAAGTGCATTTGTAGATTATATTCATAGCCTCATGTTCTCTTTGTATGTATGTATGTATGTATGTATGTATGTATGTATGTATGTATGTATGTATTTATTTATTTATTTATTTATTTATTTATTTATTTATTTATTTATTAGATTTATATACCGCCCTACTCCCGAAGGACTCAGGACGGTGAATAGGCACAAAATAAAATACATAGATACAAAAGTTAAGAACATAGTTAAAACCAGATTAAATAATTTAGCCCGAGACAATTAAAAATCCCAATAATTTAAAACAAATTAAAATTTCAATTTAAAAGAATTTTAAAACAGGGGAGAAAATTAGGCCAGGCTGGCTTGCTGGAATAGGAGAGTCTTAAGAGCACGGCGGAAAGTGCGCAGATCTGGGATCCTCCGTATCTCTGGGGGGAGCTCGTTCCAGATAGAGAAGGCCCTCCCCCTGGGGGCCGGCAGTCGACATTGTTTAGCTGACAGCACCCGGAGGAGCCCCTCTCTATGAGAGCGTACCGGCCGATGGGAGTTTACTTGTGGTAGTAGGCCTGTAAATAACCAGGTCCTAAGCCATGGAGCGCTCTAAAGGTGATAACCAAAACCTTGAAGCGCACCCGGAAGACCACTGGGAGCCAGTGCAGTTCGCGCAGGAGAGGTGTCACACGGGAGCGCCATGTTGCTCCCATAACCACCCACGCGGCCGCACTCTGCATCAGTTGGCGCCTCCGGGTGCTCCTCAAGGGGAGCCCCATGTAGAGAGTGTTACAGTAGTCCAGGCGGACTACATATTTGATTATATAGTACTTGATCATTCTATTCTACCTCCCCAAACAGACTCTGAAACTGAAAATGTGCATTACTGGTAAATAGATCCAGGTCTTTGACAAAATTTCCTTTTTTAACCAAATCATTTCTTTGGCATTTCCCTTCTGAGATGCATTACAGCCAGTCCTCAATTTACAATCAGAGCTGGGGGCTGGAACTTCCCTCGCTGAGCAAGTCACTAAGTGAGTTCGGCCTGATTTTCCAACCTCTTTTTTCCCTGCAAAACACTGTGGTTGTTAAATAAATTGTGGATCATTACATGATGATGGATCATTATTTGGTTTCCCCCACTGACTTAGCTTCTTGAATGCAATTATGAGATTACCTAGTTTGGGTAATGAAACATCTGTAAGAAAAAGGTCAAAAAGAACCAAGGGCAACCACTGTCCAACCCTGAGTTACAAATATTATCTTCTGTTGATATCATCCAACTTGTCTGGCCATCCAGCTCAGTGTTTCATGATCTTGACAAAATCCAGTGACAAAATCCAGCGTGCAAGACAAGTCCACTCCCAACATTCCCAGAAATGGCTACCACTACCACAGCCCTTGGCCCACACATCTGGTGTCCCCCAAGGTTGGGAAACACAAAACTGAGATTTCAGTGCCAACCTGCTGAAATTGGCAGTGGACATCTAAGGTTTCTGAATTTCCCCAGCATTCCGGATCTTTTCCACCCAGAATCAAAAACTGAAAACCCACCTCCCTCCATCAGTCGTCAACTCGCAAAGCATTCCTGGTCTGCTCTCGAGTTGCCAGGCAAGGGGGGAGAGGACTGATGGAGCAGTTCAACAGCCATGTTCAAAAGCACATTCCACGCATATCTTCTTCAAGGTGGGATCTCAGATTACCAGAGCCGGCATGTGAGGCGTGGTTTCTACAGAGCAGGAAAGTGCCTTGTTGGAGAATGTGATTTATGACACAGACTGAGAGGAGTGAGGAAACAGGGTCAGAGTTGAGCTGTAAATTATTTGTGGCAGAGTTGAGTACACTCGAGAAGTTGCTGACATGTTGCTCCTAATAAATAACTGAATTTCTTTTGAAACTTGGCTCGAGGCTCATGAGTTAATTAGGGCATCTGTTGGAACCCTGACATCAGTCTCTTCAGTAAAATTAACAGAATAACAGAACTGGAAGAGTCCTTGCAGATCTCCTAGTCCAACCTTCTGCTCAAGCAGGAGACCGTATACCATTTCAGACAAGTGACTATTCAGTCTCTTCTTAAAAGCCTCCAGTGTTGGAGCACCCAGAACTTCTGAAGGCAAGCCATGCCACTGATTATTTGTTCTGTCAGGAACAAATTTCTCCTTAGTTCTAGGTTGACTCTCTCTTTGATTAGTTTCCATTCGTTGTTTCTTATCTTGCCTTCTGGTGCTTTGGAAAATAAGTTGACCCCCTCTTCTTTGTGATATCCCCTCAAATATTGGAGCACTGCTGTTCCGTCACCCCCAATCCTTCTTTTCTCTAGACTAGCCATACCAAATTTCTAAAACTCTTCTTCATATGTTTTAGCCTCCAGCCTCCTAATCATCTTTGTTGCTTTTTCTGCACTCTTGCCAGAGTCTGAACATCGTTTTTATAATGTGGTGACCAAAACTGGATTCAGTATTCTAAGTGTGGTCTTACTAAAGCTTTATAAAGCGGTACTAATTCTTCATGTGATCTTGATTCTATCCCTCTGTTAATGCAACCTATGATTACATTGGCTTTTTTGGCTGCCACCGCACACTACTAACTCTTATTTAAGTGATTGTCCACCAGGACTCCAAGATCCCCCTCACAGTTACTGCTATTAAGCCACGTTTTACCTAATCTGTACCTGAATATTTGGTTCTTTTTGGCTAAGTGTAAAACCTTACTTTTCTCTACGTTGACTTTCATTTTGTTAGATAGGGCTACTCATCCCAGGACAGGACAGGGAGAAGAGAATGAGAAGGAATCTGGCTGAGGAAAGAAGTGTTCCTCAGTTGTTATAAGGATCAACCTGGACCTTGTAGGGTTATGCTTTCTTCATATCATAAGAGCCGTGGTGGCACCGTGATTAGAGTGCAGTACTGCAGGCTACTTCTGCTGATCACCGGCTGCCAGCAGTTTGGCAGATCGAATCTCACCAGGCTCAAGGTTGACTCAGCCTTCCATCCTTCTGAGGTGGGTAAAATGAGGACGCAGATTGTTGGGGGCAATAGGCTGACTCTGTAAACCACTTAGAGAGGGCTTTAAAAGCACTTATGAAGCGGTATATAAGTCTAAGTCCTATTGCTAGTGCTATATCCACCACCCCTCTCTTAAAATAGTTTTAAATAGCTTTAAATAAGAAATGGTGGCTCAGTGGCTAAGATGCTGAGCTTGTCGATTGAAAGGTCAGCAGTTCAGTGGTTCAAATCCCTAGTGCCGCGTAACAGGGTGAGCTCCCGTTACTTGTCCCAGCTTCTGCCAACCTAGCAATTTGAAAGCACATTAAAAATGCAAATAGAAAAATAGGGACCTCCTTTGGGGGAAGGTAACAGTGTTCCATGCGCTTTGGCATTTAGTCATGCTGGCCACATGACCACGGAGACTTCTTCGGACAGCACTGGCTCTTCGGCTTTGAAACGGAGATGAGCACTGCCCCCTAGAGTTGGGAACAACTAGCACAGATGTGTGAGGGGCATCTTTATCTTTTAAATAAAAGTACCGAACATCCAGATGTGTTCGGATATCAACCAGGAGTAAAATGCTCCTGGTTCGGACCGGATTGCCCGATCCGGTAGCAGTGGAGGCGGGTGGTTCGGAGAACCAGTAGCAAAAATCCCTGCACCCCCCACCCCATGCCTAGCTGAGCCGCGAGATCATCAGAGGCTGTTATTTTATTTTTAAAAGCATTTTTTCTACAACCTCTTCGGCCGAAAAAATGCTTTTAAAAGTAAAAAAGAAAGCCTCTGATGATCACATGGTTCAGCTGGGATTGTCAGAGGTTTCTAAAAACATTTTTTTCTGCAACTTCTTCGGCCGAAGAGGTTGTAGGAAAAAAAATGCCTTTAAAAGCCTCTGGTGATCCCAGCTGAGTTGCCTGATCGTCAGAGGCTTCTAAAAGCATTTTTTTCCTGCAACCTCTTCGGCTGAAGAGGTTGTAGAAAAAATGCTTTTAAAAGTAAAAAAAAAAAAAAAAAGTTGGCCATGCCCACCCAGTCACATTACCCCCACCACCACCACCAATCCACACCCACAGAACTGGTAGTAACAAATTTTAGATTTCACCCCTGATATCAACCTATCATATGACAGTCCAGACAATACACAATTATGGCTTATTTACAAATGCAGCAGGGGACATTGGAGAAGAAGTTTAGGAAATCATGATGAGAACATTTTAAAAAGTTGGAAGAAGCCTACCTTCCTTCTGTGTCTCTGCATTTATCTTTTTTCTTCCATTCAAAAGAGCTTCTCTGTGGCCATGGACCTCTTTTTTCTCCCTCAGGATTTGCTGTTCTTGCTCCTTAAGATGCTTCCTCGTTTTTCTGCTCATCAGCAACTGAAGCTTTGCTACATCCAGGCTTACATTTGAGGCAGCCAACTCCTTACTGTTTCCAAACACTTTCTGAAAGATCGCTAGATGTTCTTCAAAGTTTTTTTGGGCTGATACAAGATCTTCCTTCACCTCCTTCACTGAAACACTGAGGAAGTCCCCTAGGTTGGCCTCCGTTTGATTGCAGCAGGAATGAATATGATCCCATTGCAATTCAAATCTCTTCATCTCTTTGGTAAGGTGTCCAATCTCTCTTTTTAGGGTCGTAATATCATGGTATGCTGGATTGTCTAAGGCATCCTCCATGACAGCCTCATGGTTTGGCTCCATATATTCTACTCTACCATGTCGGGGATTGAGGTCAATTTGTTTCTCAGTATCAGGGTCTTTCGAAGATTTATGATCATGTGGATTATTTTCATGATCTGCCTCCCAAAAGTCTATTCTCTTCTTAAAAGACTCTAGTGTCATACTCTGCTTCTTGAGATGGTCTGAAATTAATTTGATGTTCATCACTGGAAGTTGATCTACGGATGGAATGACCTCTTCTTCAGATAGGTGCTCCAAAATTTCCTCTCCGAGCAGAATCTCAAGGGCCTTCTCGTGTCTCAATGCATCTACCAGCAACGAATTGAAAGAACTGTTGAGATATGTAACATGGTCACGCATCTTCTTGTCGGCTTTTTTTAGCATATCAACTTCCTCAGAAAAAACTTCAGAATGGTTTCTTAAGAGAGACAGGCCATCTTGCAGCTTCCAGCTTTGTTCTTGCTGGAAATCCAAAGATTGGTGGATAAGCGGGAAAGCAGCAGTGAGATCTTTTAAACGTGCCTCCAGATATTTTAGATGTTCTCCATGCATCTGAGTGATGTTCTTTAAGTCTTCCACATTAGTACTTGAAGGCTGATCTTCACAACAGCATGTCTTCATGGACTTCTGTAGACTCCAGTAGTTTTCTTGAATATCTGCCAGACTATTATTAAGAGCGAAAATCCTCCTTTCTACATCTTCTCTGTATTCATCGATCATGAGACTCCCTTCTATTAATCGTACACGGAAGTCTTCTATGTCACGTTTTGAGCTGTCTTTTAACCTTGTGATGGAATCAGTTAGTTCTTCATAGTCTTTTTCAGACTCCTCATAAAGGGTCTTTAGCTCCCGAGCATGTTTTTCCAAGGTCTGATTGAAGTTCTGCATATCCATATCAGCAAACACCTCATTCTGATGGCCCAATCGCCTTGGGAACATGGCAAAATTTCTGTTTAGCATCTCAAGCTCACCACGAAGCTTATTTTGCTCTTGTCTCAGGTCGGCCAAACTGTTGTTTAAAGCTAATAAAACAGACTGCTGCAGCTTGTGGTGTCTCTTGAGCTTCAGGTCCGTGTCTGCTTTGATCATCGTAAGATTGTAATGGATGGCGGCTTGTTGCAGGTAGTTGTGATGATCCATGTCTCGCTTCATCTGGTCGGCCCTCAGAACATTTGCTTGGACTTTGGATTCGAACTTTGTCCCTAGTTCTTGGAAATCTTTTCTGGGCACAGAACTTTCTTGGAATCGCTCTATGCTCTTCCGATTCGCTTCCACGCTCTGGGAAAGGTTCTGCACAGCAATGGACAGGTCTTGTAGACTTTTATTGAAACTGGCCCAGACAGGATTGAAATGCTCCTTTAAGAAACTGTTTATGTATAGAAAGAGCATTTGCTGGACTTCTGAAACATCACAAACCAAAAATACATTAGCATTTATTTCTATGCTTGATTGATTGCTTCAGACCAGGGGTGGCCTACTGGGGGTTCGAAGGGGTTCGGGAGAACCTCTAGCTAAGATTCTGTGCAGTTCAGAGAACCCCCAAATCCCACTCCTATCTGGCCCCACCCATCCCATCCCGCCCCTCCCAGGAATCCCCACGCAGCCCATTTTGGATACAAGGGCATGCACGGAGGCTTAGGGAGGGCTAAAAACAGGCCTACTGGAAGTTTGGGATGAGGGCCAGAGGGCCTCCAGTCTGGGAAGGCCATTTTCACCCCTCGAAGGCTCAAGGAAAGCCTCCGGAGCCCGGGGAGGGCAAAAACGTCCACCACCCACAACTCCGCCGTGGTGCAGGAGGCTGACTAGGCCACACCCACCATGGCCACACCCACCCAGCATCCGGGCTTTTTGAAGTCCACCACTGCCTCAGGCTGTTGAGAAATGAGGGGTCTTTGGTGCTCTCTGAGCTTGTTTGTTTTCTTCCAGATATTTCATGACCATAGTACTGATGATGTTGCCTAATTTGGGTAATGAAACATCTGCCAGGAAACACCCAAGCTCAGAGAACACCAAGGATACCTCAGTTCTCCTCCTCCTCCTCCCCCTCCTCCTCCTCCTCCTCCTCCTCTCTGCAAACCCCTCTCCCTTCTAGCAATGAAGATGTTATCTAGTTTTGGTAATGAAACATCTGCAAGTAAACAACCAAGGCCAGAGAGCATCGAAGATCCCACAATTCGACCCTGAGCTACAGATATTCTCCTTTATCGATACTGTTGAGAAATACCTCTCTCACCTGACTGGTGCTGGTCTGTGCCTCCATTTCTGTCGGTGCTATTGTGATGAAGGACTTTCTGTAAGATTCCTAAACTGCTTGCCGTCTGGTGAATGTCATTCTGCAGGTCTTCTAACAGTGCTTCATGACTTTGATGGGCTTCTACAACATCTCCTGAATCCAGCAAAGATGACATTATTTGCAAAGAAGCAAGACAAGGTAAAAACACATCTACCATATTTTTCGGTGTATAAGATGCACTCCCCCCCCCCCAAAAAAGTGGGTGGAAATGTCTGTGTGTCTTATACAGCAAATGTTGCTAAAGCCTCGCCCACCTGTCGGCCCCCACCCTTCGGCCTCTGCCTCCCAGCAATTTACCTCCTTGCAGCAAACAGCAAACAGACTGGTCTGCTTCAGCACAGCCTGATTTAGCACAAGCAGCTGATTAGCGGTTGGATCAGCCTCCTGAAATACCACCTATCAGCTGTTCCAAGCTGCAGGGATCACCACTGTTGCTGCCCATTTCTGCTGCCATCTATTGCCGCCTCCGCACACCCCATTTTCGGCCTCCGCACGTCCTGTATTTGGCCCATTCCAGGCGGTGGGGATAGGCAGCAGGGGCAGCGATCTCCACTACCTGGAACGAACCAAAAACAGGACACGTGGAGGCCAAAAACAGGTCATGCAAAGGCCAAAAACAGGATGCATGGAGGCGGCGATAGGTGGCAGCAACAATGGACGGTGGCGGGCGGTGGCGATCCCTGCAGCCTGGAACAGCTGATAGGCAGTATTCCGGGAGGCTGATCCAACCGCCAATCAGCTACTTGTGCTAAATCAGGCTGTGCTGAAGCTGACACGGCTGTTTGCTGTTTGCTGCAAGGAGGTAAATTGCTGGGAGGCAGAGGCAGATTTTTTTCCCCCTTGTTTTCCTCCCCAAAAGTTAGGTGCGTCTTATATTTCATAGCATCTTATAGTCCAAAAAATACAGTAAATGTAATTTAGCATGGAAGGTGAACCTCCTGATTTAAAAAAAAAAAACCATGTGCACATGTTGCTAATAGAAAGAAGGAAGAAGAATGTTGGTTTTTCTTGCAGTAAATGAAATTTCAAAAGAGCAAGAAATGTAGTTAGTTGTTGTCAATCAATATGGAACACGTTTAAGAAATACATCTTCAAATCAGCAATATAATTTATCTAGGTTTCAGATCACTTTAAAGTCCTTGTTTGCATCATCTGTGTGTACAATAACCTTGAACAAAAGTATACACTCCAAAACACATTAGTATTAATTTTTTTAAAAAAAATCACTGGCACATGGAATGCCCTCATCTCTATCTTGTTTATGTTTTCTTACTGCCTTTCTCTTCCATTGTTCTTATTTTGCTAATGCCTAGAGGTGAGCAGTTAAAAGAGATAAACACGGGTTGTAATTTTCAGGCGTGATTTTAATGGGCAATTAAGGACTCTGTAGATAATGTTGGGTTAAGAAACCTCCATCTTAAAAAGCTGGATGTAGCAGAAGGAGAAGACTCTTCAAAGTCTAACACAGGGGTGTCAAACTCAATTTCATTGAGGGCTGCATCAGGGTTGTGTTTGACCTCAGGGGGGTGAGGGCGTGGCGTGGCCAAGGTGGACGTGGCCAGCTCGACATCACTCATATTGGGGGCACCTGTGATGGCCCAAGTGCTCTGCCAGCGAAAATGGGCTCCCAAGCTCCGTTTTTGGCTACCACAGCCTCCTGCAAATCTCTTCCAGTGAAATCGGAGTTCGGGAGCCTGTTTTCGCTGCCAGAAGCACCACGGGCCAGTCCCAGTGGTGGGCTGCTGCCGATTCAGACTGGTTCGGGAGAACCGGTAGTTGTGACCTGTGGATGGGCCCGCCCCCACCCACCCACCTGGGTGCAATCCTGTTCTATATCATTGTGTTGTTTGATGCCGCACATATGTGTGGACAGTACGCGCAAGCAAATTCCCATGTTTTGTGACGCACACGCTCACATTTCCAATGCTGGGCAAACTGGTTGTTACGGTATGTGATGCCCACCTCTGGCCAGTCCTTTGCTATTTCCAGGGCAACCCCACAGGCCAGATCTAAGCACCCCACGGGCTGGATTCGACCCCCGGGGTTAGACGTTCCTGGTCTAACACATCTGAAAAACAGCAGGTGGTATAGATGAAGAAGCTGCAGAAATATCCTCCGTGCATACCATGAGGATGTGAAGTACAACTATGGATTTAAATCTCTAGCAGTGTCACAGATACATTCTTCCATAAAGGATGAGTTGAAACCTACTGTGGTTTGAGAATGCTTCTTCCCAATGTTCAGGCTGACTGGTACTCACTGGAAACTGAGCTGGATCTGCAAATCAATTCCATAAGACATTTATTTCCCTTTTTCCCCCAATTTATTGTAGAAAAAATCCCCCACAACTATTAAAGGACGTTTTTCATTTGTGTGTCATCCCAGAGATCAACCTGTTTCTTAATACTAATATGTGCACTGATGCAATAGTGTTAGGAGAACACCTAGTTCCAATTCAGAAAATTCAGGTTTTTCTGCTCCTTTGAAATAGTTCTCTTTTATTTTTGACCATCCTTTCTTATTAGGAAGGCCGGGATGATCTTCATATTATAAGGGGACAAGAAAGTCTTAGAGACGGAGATAAAAATTCAGATTCTGAGAAGACAGGAAGGAAGGACCTTTGTGGCTTTACAATTTTCTTTGCCCTTCTGCTACTTATGACCGGGGTTGGATTGAAAAATTTTAGTAACTGGTCCTCTGCCCAATTGCTGGGTGGGCGTGGCCATGGGAGCATGGCCTAGTTGGTTTCCTGCACTATGGCAGGGGAGCATTTTCATGCTCCCCAGGCTCCAGAGGCTTTCCTTGAGCCTCTTGGAGTGCGAAAACAGCCTCCCCCGGGCTCCAGAGGCCCTCCAGAGGCCATAAATGGGCCTGTTTCCAGACTTCTGGTAAGCCTGTTTTTTTCCCTCCCCAGGCTCCGGAGGCTTTCCTCGGGTCTCCGGGAAGGCGAAAATGGCCTCCCCTGGACTTCAGAGGCCCTCCAGAAATCAGAAACAGGCCCGTTTCCGGACTTCCAGTACTTCTGGTAGACCCATTTATTGCCCTCCCAGAGCCTCCGTGTGGGCCCTGCACTTACCTGGCATCCAAAACAGGCCACGTGGAGACTCCTGGGAGGGGCGGGGTGGGCGGGGTCAGCCAGTCCTTGCAACTATTGATTCAGTGAACCAGATTAAAATTAACATCTGGTTTGCCTGAACTGGTCTAAACCGGCTGAATCCACCCCTGCTTATGACCCAGCAGAGACCTTTCTCAACAGTCAATAGTCCCTTTTGATTTCTCAACCTTCCAGATAATTGGACCTGATCGGCCAATCTGGTTGATTTCGCCAGCCTGGTTGATTAGTTGATAACACAGAGTGCACCCAACTACAGAAGGCTACTTAAAGATGTATTCTTACCATATTGTTCACAATCCTTGCCTACATAACCTGGGCAGCACTTCCAGTCTAAAAAGCTTACAACTTTCTCTTTTATCCTGTAGACTGGCTTCAACGCTGTTCTGTACCTAGAAGAAGAAGAAGAAAGGAAAGAGTGATAGATTAGAAATAAGCCTCATCTCATACCCTGAAGGTCTTGATAAAGGACCGTAGCAATTAGGGGGACCTATCAGAAGTTTTGGCTAGGGAAAAGCTATCAGCAGAAATCCAGGTGATCCTATGATATTTTTTTTCTCCCTCTACTTCTTTGCTGCTATCTCGTCTTCATCTATAGGTGCTTCATTTGCTTTTGTGTGCCAGCCCAGTTGCTGAAAGACACAGGGTTCTTTAACCATCAATCTGGTTCTGCAAAAGGCCATTCTCTGCTCGGAGGGCTTTTGGAGACACAGCCTCTCTGGGTGCCATCTCTTCCTTTCTCTGCAAAATTATCCACTTGAAGCTTAAATATGCCCTAAAGCAGACTCAAACTTAAGGCCCAGGGGCCGGATTTGGCCTGTGCGGTGCTTAGATCTGGCCTGTGGCCCTGCCCTGGAACTAGCGAAGGACCAGCCTGTGGTGCTTCTGCCAGCGAAAACAGGCTCCCGAGCTCCATTTTCAGCTATCACGGCCTCCTGCAACCCTCTGCCAGTGAAAACAGAGCTCAGGAGGGCCACACGCGCAAGTTGCCCCATTCCCTTTTTTGAGGAGAGGAAGGAAGCTCTCTTCCATGTCAAGGGAGGCACCTGACACTGGATCTCAATAGGCAACAGGCAAGGCTGCTTTAAATACTGGGTTGACTCCCCCTTCAGAAGGAAAGATGGTGCTACGTACATGATCTTCTGGCAGTCTGGAGTTCCATTCGGACATGGTTGTTGGGACCTGATTATGTATTTCTCTGTCCTGCAAACTGCAATGTACGTGGCAGTCCGATATTGAACAGAGGAGCACCAGTTCCTGAGGGAAAAGAGAGAACAGATTTAATTTGCCAAGAGAGATCTCGGAAATCAGGCAAGTCATTCATCCAAGCACATTAACAGAATAACAAGTTGGAAGGGGAGGTCTTCTACGCCAACCCCCTGTTCAAGCAGGAAGCCCCATACCATTTCAGACAAATGGCTGTCCAAACTTTTCAAAAAAACCTTCCAGTCCACCCACAACTTCTGGAGGCAAGTTGTTCCACTGATAAATTGTTCTGTCAGGAAATTTCTCCTTATTTCTAAATTGCTTCTCTCCTTGATTAGTTTTCATCCATTGCTTCTTGCCCTGCCTTCCGGTGCTTTGGAGAATAGGCTGACCCAGTGGTGAAATTCAAATTTTTATACTACCGGTTCTGTGGGCATGGCTTGGTGGGTGTGGTGTGGCTTGGTGGGCATGGCAGGGGAAGGATACTGCAAAATCTCCATTCCCTCCCCACTCCTGGGGGAAGGATATTGCAAAATCTCCATTCTCACCCCACTCTGGGGCCAGCCAGAGGTGGCATTTGCCAGTTCTCCAAACTACTCAAAATTTCCACTACTGGTTCTCCAGAACCTGTCAGAACCTGCTGGATTTCACCCCTGGATTGACCCATCTTCTTTGTGGCAGCCCAGAAAGAGAATTAATGCCATTCTCTGTCATTAAGGGGGAAATTGTCATGTTGCTGCTTTGGAAGACCATTCAAGAGCCTTCTTCTCTTCTTCTGGTGCAGTGGTACAAACCCAATGTCAGCACTTCAACCTGCATTTACTCTAGTGCTGACATAAGGAGAAGAGGGGGCAGCTGGCAAGAGGACGCTTGACTTCTCACCTACTTATTTTCCCTGAAGATAATATCCCCTAGGAGATGAGATGGGAGGGGGGACATTCCTGAGAGCTGAAGTAGTAGATATGGGGAGAATGATTTGGAAGAGGGCCAATGAGACGCAGAGAATTGGGGAACGGAAAGGGAAGGTTTGGGGTCAGGAAGGCAGTGTTGGCTACGCCACAATCGGGGACAGGTTGTCGTGCTTAATAAAATGAAATATTTCTTCAAAGACTATTTGTTTGGAAATGCAATTTATTTTATTTGAGACGACATTGAAACCTGACACCCAATAGAAATTAAGGTCTACAAGCACTGAGTCAACCAAATTAGGACTTTATGCCTCATCTCTCCTCAACCTGGTTTCCTCTACATGCCTGAACTAGTTAGGTGATCAACCTCAGCCAAAATATCTCAAGATCTTCAAGATGGGAAAAGCTTTCAGAAGTTGTGGATGCTCCATCACTGGAGATTTTTAAGAAGAGCTTGGACAACCATTTGTCTGGAATGGTATAGGACAGTGATGGCTAACCTTTTTGCCGTCGCGTCCTGAAAGCGCGCGCACAACTGCATGCACCTGCGCATGCCAGCACCCATACTGCAATGCATGTGTGACACCCCCCCATGTACCCCACTCCTTGGGCATGTGCATCCACCCACACTCCCCCCCACCTGCATACATGCACGTGTGACCCCTCCCTGCATCCTGTTTTGGGCCTAGCAGGCCTCCCTGCAGCCTCCTTGGACCAAAAATGGGCCACAGGGATGCATGCCGCACCCCCTCGCTCTCCCTCCTGCCCCATGCACATGCCCCACCTCCCCGCACACGTGCATGTCTCCCGCATGCATCCCACCCACCCCGCGCATGTGCGGCAGAGACCCGAAAATCAGATGGCCAGCGGGAGGCGCGCATACATGCATGGTGGAACTGAGCTGGGGCAACGGCTCACATGCCTGCAGAGAGGGCTCTGCGTGCCACCTGTGGCATACATGCCATTGGTTCGCCATCACAGGTATAGGATCTCCTGCTTGAGCACGGGGTTGCACTAGAAGACCCTTCCAACTCTGTTATTCTGTTAGATGTTCTGTCCTAAGGATCAACAACCAAACAAATTTTCAGAGAAGCAATGCCTAACTTGAGATACCAAAGACTGAGCTTGTATGCAAAAATGAGACCTTCTGCATTTGACCATTTTTGGATGGTGATGGTGAGTCTTTGAGTCAAACTTGACTGCAGGTGACTGCCTAAAGTAGCATCTGCAGCTTTCTTGGCAAGATTTCAAAAGTGGTTTGCCCTTGCCTGCTTCTTCCCAGGTCTGAGACAGAGTGATTGGCCCAAGATCAACCAGCTGGCTTCATGCCTAAGATAGGACTAGACCTCATGATTTACCATGGCCTGCAGGGTACCTTCACCACTACAGAAACTGGCTCTTCTAACTCCCAGCATTCTGACCAGTGGTGGGTTGCTCCCAGTTCGGTCTGGTTCTATAGAACCGGTAGTAAAACCATCGGGAGGCTCCGCCCACCTGCCACGACATCATCACGGGTGATCTGCACATGTGCAGAAGCTTCTACGTATACGCAGAAGTGCGTGCTCGAACTCCCGCTGCGAACCAGTAGTAAAGGTAAGTGGAACCCTCCCCTGGTTCTGAGCTCCATGTTGCCTCCACCTCAGCTGATCCCACATGGAGTGGGTCAATCTATTGTGTTAGGATCTCTGTTCACCCAAAGCATTGGTGTTTTGGAAAACATGAGAAGGCAGTTCCACCCAGAATTGTCCTGGATCTGTAACTGTGGCCAAGATGCCAAGAAAGCGGGGGCATTTTGTTCCCTTCTCATTGTACTGATATAAATACTCTTTTCTCCTAAAAGGGCAGGTGAGCGAATCTAATCTTCATACAAGCCTCCAGAGAGGAACTGGGAAAGGTCAGGGGCCCTTTACCCATGGCGGCATCTGAGGACTTGCATGGACCTGGGTGTGGGCCTCCTAAGAATAGAAAGAACTTCACCCTGTGAAGAATGGCCGGTGGAGTTTACTCTCTTGACGTGGGAGTTGAGGAACTGAGGTTCTGATAACCTCCTTACATGGGAAAGTTTCTGCTTTGGAGGTGGAGTGGACGAAACAACGGGAAGTGTGTAAGGCCCCTGAGGGGAAATGGACATCACACCAGAGGTGGAGCAGAGTTGTGTTTGTGGCTATGTGGTAGAGACTGCAACTTTGCAATTGAAAGTTGTAAGCAGGCAGCAAACTAACCCCAAACCAAGGAACAGCCCGCAAAAAAAACACTAAGGTGGCTTTTGCCATGAACTCTGTCCCTGAAATTTCTATTTATAATGGATGTTTGAATGCATATACACAAGAGGCATATACAGTAGTGGCCAAAATTGTGGAAGGCTTTTGGGAAAAGTGTATTTTTGAGGTTTGATAACTAATAACACCATTTTGTTTTTTTGGAGTTTCAAGATAATCGTATTCCACTGCTGGAATGGCCTGGGAATAGCCCAGACCTTCTTAACCCAGTTGAAAATCTATGGATCCGACTAAAGAAACTTGTTAGTCAGAAGCGATCCAGCAATAAAACCCAGTTCATAGACAGGGCGCGCAACTTGGGTGTCCTCTTGGATTCACGGCTGAGTCTGGAGGGTCATATCACGGCTGTGACCAGGGGGGCGTTTGCCCAGGTTTGCCTGGTGCACCAGTTGCGCCCATACTTGGACCGAGATGCCCTACACACAGTCACTCATGCACTAGTCACCTCCCTGATCGACTACTGCAATGCTCTCTACCTGGGGCTGCTCGTGAAGACCACCCGGAGGCTTCAGCTGACACAGAATGCGGCCGCGCGGGTTGTTGCGGGAGGGACCCGATACTCCCATATTACACCACTCCTGCGTGGCTTGCATTGGTTGTCGGTTGCCCTCCAGGTGAGATTCAAGGTGCTGGTGTTAACCTATAAAGCCCTTCATGGCTTAGGCCCAGGATATTTGTCACACCACCTGCAACCAGCATCAACTTCCCATCGCCCGGTGCGTTCTCACAGAGAGGGCCTACTCAGGGTGCCGTCGGCTAGACAATGTTGGCTGGCGACTCCCAGGGGTAGAGCCTTCTCTGTGAGCGCCCCCCCCTGTGGAATCAACTTCCCTTGGGGCTCCGGTTGGCCCCTGACCTTCGCACCTTCCGCCGTGAATTGAAAACCTGGCTATTTATGTCCCCCGGCCTGGACTGATGGGATAGTATATTTTAATTTTTTTAAAAAAACTTCCTTGATTTTTATGTATATTCGTTGTTTTTAACAGTCGCTTGGTCAACTGTCGTTGTGAGCCGCCCTGAGTCCTTAGAGATAGGGTGGCATACAAATTTTATAAAACAAATAAATAAATAAAATCATTCAATCTTGGTTTCACATGATAACAGCTGCAGAACCAAAAGACTTGGTTCACTCCATGGGAAGATGTTGTAAGGCCGTCATTCATGCTAAAGATTACCCAACTAAGTATTAACTGACATGGTGATCATTTTTGTATATCTCATTTTTTCTATAGTGATAATTTTTGTATCTTGTTTTTTCTACATGTTTCACTTTTCTTCTTTATACTGCAACTGCTATTCTAATAACAAATCCTTCATAAAAGTGATTGCATTACATTCTTGATTAAATTATCTTTCCGTTGATATATAATTTTATGGCACTACTCCCCCCAAAAAAGTGGTGTTATTAGCTAGTTTTAAAAAATACACTTTTCCCAAACGGCTTCCACAATTTTGGCCACGACTGTACATTGCAAATGTATGGTACCATGGAATTGATCTTGAAAAAGCTAAGCGAATTGGAACTTGGTTAGTACTTGGATGGAAGATCAACCAGGATTGTTAGCTAGACTGAGAAGTTTAAAAATGGTTGCAGAACAAAGTAACAGTAAATGTGCATCTACCAATAGAAGAGGATATTTATAGCCCAGGGTTGAACTGTGGCATCCTTGGTATTCTCTGAAGTTGGTGGGTTTCCAAGTAAGATCTTCAGTACTTCTAGAAGGGAATGGAGTTTGCTCTCTGTTTATATACAAGTAGCTAGCCCTACCACTGTTGGTAGGTGATCGTGGCTGTTCCTTGATTAAACTAAAAGACCACAACATCTCCAGACCAACAATCAACACCAGTGATGGAATTCAAATTT